GAAGTAGCTATATTCATTAGGAATACTATCACATTTATCACTATCGACAGTCCCATGTGAATGGGACATGTGGATTAGTTAGTTGTTAAATAGAATACAAGAGCTGCTCATTAGTGTGATCTACCGTATTCCAAGCTGTGCGGTGCACATTGAACAGTATGACCATTGAAGAACTGGGTGTCCTTCGTTTGCTAAGTAAGCTTGATATAGGCAGATTCACAGGAGCCGATGAAATGCATCCTAGGTTACTTGGGAGACTAGCTAAATTCACTGATAACCCCTTAAGTGTATGTTTTAATTGACTGCCAAAAGACTGGAAGGACACCATAGTAGGTCCTGTCTTCAAAACATTTACGAAATATAGATCTGAGAACTACCGACCCATTAGCCTAACCAGCATGGTTGTTAAAGTTCTAGAAATGATTATACGGAGGTAAATGTTTATGTGTCTCGATGGAAATCTGTCTCACTAAATTATTAGTGGTTCGTGAAAGTTAGTGAGTTGTTAAGCACCCATGGTTACCTATAGACGTAGCCTAAATCGACTTAAGCTAGACTTTCGACAAAGTTCAACACAATCAACTGCTATATAAGTTAGGAAATGTCGGGATCAGTCGCAATTTATGAATGTGGATAAAAGACTTCCTAGATGGGCGCCAACAAAAAAGCGGATGGACTTCAAGCTGTCTGGTAAGGAAACTGTTCAGTGGACCGCCTCAGGATGCAGTTTTAGGGCTAGTGTTTTTACTCTTGTATGTAAATGACTTTCTACTTCTCCTATCATCATAGAGTTTGCTATATGCTGACGATCTTGAGATATGGGGAGAGATAAAGAATAAAGGTAAGAAACTGAAGTTTCAAAATGACTTGAGGAAATCTGAATGATTTAAAATTTGGAAGTTTCTGACAAATACTTCCAAGTATATTGTGGTGCATATTGGTAATCAAGGTGCAGATATATAAATGGTGATTAGCATTGGGCTGCTTGTTGTCCAGACACCCAATGTCTTAGGAGTCATCGTTAGACAGGACTTCAAAACTACTGCATTTTGTTGTGGAATAGCCGCCATAGGTTTCAGGACCCTGTGGTCAATAAGTAGAGCCATGTCGACGCTGGAAGCTTTTTGACTTTATATACAGTATTCGTGCGTCTTAAACTTGAGATTTGAATACATGCAGCTAGCCCCTGCTTAAAAAAGACAGTGAGCTTTTGGAAAAGGCTTAAAGAAGAGAAATTAGGCTGATTCTCGGAATAGCGAAGCTCCCGTATAATACTCGGCTGGTTAAACTAAACCTGTTCCCATTGTCATATCGAAGAACCAGAAATAACTCGAGTACGGTTTTCAAATTACCTACTAACATCGACCTACAGATAAAAAAGACGAAATCTCTAAGCGTATTATTAAAAGGTTTAACTTACGTTACCATAGTAATTATTTTGCCTAGGGACAAATCAATCTGATTAACGACGAATAAGAATTGTTTACTTGATCAGACTTTTTAGAACTTTAAGCAACTTTAAATAAAATATCGTCTGACTATCGGATCCAACTCAGTAACTACTGTATAGCAAGAGCAGACGGATAGTCTTCATCCACTGTAGTATTGAATACAAATTCTACATTTGACCTTATTCAGTGGATGGAATATGCTTCATTGTTAGTTAATTGTAGTTGGTATTCTGGAATTCTTTCAAAACGTTTATTGCGTAATCCGATAGTTTTAGTCACTAGACTGAATATTTACAATTTATATATTGTCGGGGAAGATGGGAGAATAGAACTTCTAAAGCTTGTTTAACTGTACCCTATCAGCACTGACTATTTGCTGATTTTTTCACGTCAACTGTGAGAAAATTATAAGGGAGTAACTAACTTCCCAGGCAATTTGTTGTGGTTTCGGACCTGTGTAAGCACCTATAGTGACAATTGTGTCACGTGATCCGGTCGTCATTTGTTACTTATGGCTGGGTCAGTTTGGTTTTGTCGTAATCGTTAGAGGTATTATATGTAATATTTCAACTGCGTACACTGGACAACTAACTTAATCTTAAGATCAGCACTGATGTGAATATGTCGGTATTTTTATTGCCTAGCTTGAGCTTCATATTTCCAGCTTAGCAACTAAATGTTTCAAAACATGTAGAAATAATTTTTTAGTAACACCATAACGACGATTACAAATTACATTCAATTAGTGTCAAAGTGCATTTCATGGTCAAGTAGTAACAAGTGTAAAACGTACTAGTGACTCTTTAATAATTTCCTTAGTACAATTGGTCTTGTTATATATTTACTTTTATTTATGAGTTATGGCAAGAGGCCAGGGAACATTCTGAATAATCTGTATTCATCGGTCATCAATCAACATCAGGAGAAAATGAAGAGCGAGTACCTCGCAGTTAAGAGCACACATATTTCATCATTTGATTAAGGACTATTAGATATATAGCATTTATATAAAATACGGAAGTAAGTGGGCCTAAATATCGACCAAGGTCTTTCCATTCGGATACCACGTCATCCGTTGACTATGAGACGCCCACCTTTAAATATTACGGTTTCACTGAATGTTTGTGAGTAGTAAAATATACAGTCTACATTTTCACACAGCGTCGAAATAATACAACTTATTCTCATTTTCCATGTTTTTAATACTAGCTTGAATCTACTATTCATATAAAACAAGGGTTTTGATCCTCTTAAAAAAGGAACATAATAAATAATTAACACAAGCTGTTTATTTAGTTAATTTATCTTCAGAAACAAGTTATTTAGTGTTGGCAGTGAAAATCATGTTAAATTAATATTGGGCAGGAAATATACTGCCCCCACTGTTAAAAACCGAAACAGTGTCTCCTTATTCTAATCTAAAATAGTTCAACATGTCTAAGACGATTACTGGATATGGGTGAATTCGTACACCACCCAAATTTCGCCACTATGGAAACAACGTGCTTTCTATAAAGTAGGTAACGTGGATCTTTCATATTCTATTGCCGTAGAAATAAGAAATTAAGTACTATTAATACTGCGAAATAAAGGTGAGTCAGAATTGTGTAGGATTTGTGATTGACCTTAAGGAAGACCGTGTGTTTCCTTAGAGGCGAAGTAGATAAGTACAGTGAAAAAACTGTTTCATTAAGTGAAGCGTCTATGACGTTTGTGTTACTATAAATCAACAAAGTCCGTTACGACCTAAACATTTCACTCCATTTTTCCTTTTAGTTGGGTTGGTTACTTTAAAGATGATAGAACAATGATATTTCTGAGTCAAGCTTATATCCACATATGTTATGTACACCAGACAAAGAAACAACCGAAACTTTACAAGTCAGACATTTTGTAAGTGACGTATTAATTAAATGCGGTGACAGCACGTATTGAATTATCTCGACATATTATAAATTGCTCTTCCGTAAAATTGGTAGATAGTCATTGGTTTATAGCTGAGCTTTTTGTCGCAAATCTAGAATCGGACAGGTTCCCTTGACAGAGCGCTGTCCCGAAAACGGGCGAAGAATGCCTCCGACAACTCAGGAGTTTCTCTGGTCCAGAATCCAAATGTCGCTTCCATCGCCTTCATGTAACCATCTAGTTCCATTAACATGTACAGGGAAATATTATGTTTGTTACACGGGCTAATAAACATAAGCACTTAGGAAAGTGTATGAAGACAGTACAAATTTTTTGACTACGTTCATTCTACAGCTCATATCAGCGGCATAGCTTAAATGAGTAATACATATACCTAAAATTTCAAAATCATGTGTTTAATGAGTAGGATCTTCGACAGTGGTTATGCGCAGCGCCACATGCACATGACCCAATAACCATCTAGATACTGCATGAAAACTTTTCAGCGAAAAGTAAATGTATGGGACTTAGTTCTACGGCAGAGACAACAAGCTATCGCTGAACTGACCGTAATATCTATTGAGAAGCTGTTAACTGATGGTGTCGACATTCCGAACTGCATACATATTTCGCATAAAAATGATTTTGATTTAGATAAATGCCTTACACTGGGAAACGGCAGAAGTTACCTCACCATAAACGTTGTTCTTTTGATGAAACCAGCTACATTCGAAAGGCACAAACCTCCAAATATTTCTCCAAAAATGATATTATTTTCATGATTAAAAATAGAGACAGAAAGCTTCCGCAATGCACAAAATTTGATACTGACGGTTCAAAGACACTAACTTTGGGCGTTCGGATAAAGGCATTGCATCGTCCAGCTGAAATGACTCTTTAGATTAGTGGTAAAGGAGTATAGATGAGCAATGGAAGGAATGAATCTCCAAAACGTTTGTACTAAGAAATCGGATCTCTCAGGAGGCATGACTCTCGTTAATTTAAACGTAATTGTTTGACATAGTTCCAGGTTTGCGTGTGGCCATAAAGGGCAGAAAAGACAAGACAGTTGGCAATTCACCGAAAACCTACTGAAGCTAGTTTTTCTTGGTCTAGCTTTTATTGCCGTGGGCTAGGTATTGTTGTTCGAGAGTTACTGGGACTACTGTGCGGTCGATGCATATAAATATTACTATATATTAGACTGAAGCCTGATGAGGATGTAACCGAAAACAATATTGTTCACTTTTATATTTTGCTTTAGATTACAGTAAGGGAATTTTTCAAATTGTGAAAAATATTTGTGGAATGAGTCAAAAACAACCCAGTTATTTGAATAAACTGCCATATCCAGACGCCCATTGAGACTTTAATCCGTTTCTTAGTCCTAAGATGGTATTCAAAGTGGGTCAGTTTATTTACATCGTCTTTCAATGATATTAGACATTGTAGCCGTCAATTCAATATTTAACGCTTCTTAGGCAACTTGCATTCTGTAGCAGGTTGAATTATCTGCTTCTGATCTCGATTACAAGATTGTCGCAATGCGAGGCCTGTGTTAATTTACATAATTATTGTCTACTGTTTTCGTTTTTTCTGTAAGTTCGTTTAGTGTGCTTGCTTGGTTCCCAACTCACGTATTTTGTCTCATTTTTCGCGCGCGCTATTTAAAGGTCGTGGTGGTATTTTTGAGTTAGATTTACTGTTTTGAACGTAAATTACGCATCAAAACTACTGTTCACACTAACTGAATTTATTTCAGTCAAAGCGATATTTTAATTGTGCGTTTTGATTTTGCTTCTGTCTATTTATTACATCACAGCATACTTGGTTGACTTTAAGGTAATGTAGTTTTCATATCCATCTCATGTTACCATTTTTGGTTGGTTTTTAAGATGTTAGGCTCTGCTGAAAAATGTGAACAGTCATATTGCTTATTCTTTTTGGAAGAAGGATGCAATATGATGAGTGCAAGAAGTGGTTCCATAAGATGTGTACCTGCCTAAGCCCTGCTGCTTATAAAAGATGCTCATGGCCTAACTCTTACTGGCCATGTATGTTTTGTTGTTAGAGCAAAACATTACTCGTCCAGGAAGCAATTAGCCTCCTGGTGTTGGCTAATAAAATGTTGATGAGTGCTACACTGGTGACATGGGTACTGATAGCTAAGATTGCGTCAGTGTCGTAAGTGCTGTCACGACACATGCCAGACACCCAACTGTGCAACACGCAATTAAGCTTTCTGTCCCGGAACAACTAAGCGAAATTCCATCACATATTGATGGCCAAGTTACTACAATAGCCACTGATGATTCAGACAAAATCATTACCGTCCGGAGTAGCTCTAATATGGATGCTGCAACTGGTAGGAAATGGATAATGCAGAAACGTAAGAGTATAGGCAAGATAGTCAAAACTAACGTCCGTCTATTTGAAAAGTCCTTGGTGAACACATTCTGCATGTCAGATTACTCCGCCGAAGTCCCAAAGTAAGACCTCATCAAACATTGTTGTGAGTCATTCGCTCGACTCCCACGACTCCGTTACAAGGGAACCTAACGGTAAGATGCCATCTGTTAACAGACAGGATCTGACATCCCAGTCAAAAGCCGTGAACACTACATTCAAAGAAGTTGGACCCCATCCTAGTTTAATGATTTGGAATCTGGAGTCGGAAGACAATGACCCTGCTGAATGGCACGTACACGATCAGTCTACTAAGCCATTGATCATCAGTCTAATTCGCGTCGGTAGAGGAAGACATGTTTGACGCCTATGAAATACTCTCATTCAATGATTGCTGATGTTGGTTTACATGACACAGAACCTGTCACTTGGACACAGTTGGGGAAATTCACTGTCTCTCCTTAGGCCTTAAATAAATGTCACTCACAACTTCAAGCTTCTTTGCATTTTTCGAATTATGCTTCTCATATTTATTTTTTTTTCAGTATTGCTATATGTTATATTCTCATCTTGCGTACTTCCTTTTGTTGCGCTGTTGTGGGGTGTGACAACTCGGATCAATGAACACCCACTCTGGTGAATGATTATTTCAAAATATAGTGGCATTTATGGATCGACTATGTTTGAATAACATTTTTAAATAATTGGTAAAGATACTGTAGTTGAAAGTTTTCTGAATTGTTACTTTTGAGATCTTTCATGGAACACTTGCGTAACATGCCTGTGAAAACCTGAGCACCAACTTGTGTTAACACTTGTTACCTTAAATTTTGTTTTGATATTTGTTGTCTTACTGAAACCATTTTTGTAAGTGTTGATCGACTTACATCTTCACAACTAAACGGAATACGGAGGGTAAAAGAAAGAATATACAAGGAGAAAAACTATTGAAGTTCGTAAGCTAAATGGTCTAATAAACCTAGAGATTAGACGTCTCAACTCTATGTTTACTCAAAAACCCCTGTCTTGTAAGAACTCTCCAAGAATGTGAAAACTATTTAAAGAACTTGTGGGTGACAGGCATATTAGAAGCGATAACCAGCTGAATTTTCGTGACTTAAATAAGTCTTTTTACGTCAGTCATCTGATGTAATGCTCCTTATATCCACAGGTTTAAACAATAGTTGTGTTCCTAATTTCACCGAAACTGATGTCTGAAAATGTCTCTAGTCACTTAACTCATCTGATGGTACCTCGAACCTCTTTAAAAAATGCGCTGACGTTCTATTTTGTCCATTCAGCTTTTTCCTTCTTTGTTTTTTTTGTAAAAGAAACTTGTTCAAATACTTCGTGCTGATAATTCCGAATTGTACCGAAATATAATACTGAATAAAGCCATTAATAATAATGAAAAATAATAAGTCTCTGTTAATTTGAATTTGTCCCTTTTAGACTCATTCTTTCACGAGTATATTAAGGATCCACAATTTTAGTATCCACATTTTAGGAGCTTCATTTCCTAGATTATATGTTTTTGATGATTTCAGATACTGAAAGATTTTCGGACAGCAGAGCAAATCATTATTTACTTTTTGGTTGACTTGTATGTGAAAGTTCAGCAAACCAGGCGACCAAAGATCCTTTATTTTGGTTTTGGATGATTGACTGAATTGAAATGTCTGAATGTCTATTTTTTGTTGACTGCTACTAAATTTATTTAATGGAATCAGATCCTATCAGTACTAACGAACCGTGCGACGTTCTTCTAATGCAATCAAGTATACCTATGAATGTAAACGACGACGAACATGAGACTAAATCAGATACTCTTACACCAATTGAACAAATCGACTACTCGGTACCTGAAAGATCAGATGAGCTGAACAATGATACACCATTCCATGAAAAGCAGATTCCAGAATCCTCTAGTCAACAGGAAGACAGTCTCTCTGAAGACATAAACAAGCCAGATCAAACCCATTCATATTTCCCTGAGGACGATGATTCATCCACTTTACAGCACAAAAACCTCAGACCTCGACGGTCTATAAGAAAACGATTTGTCGAGATACAAGAGGACGAATGGGAAAGGCTCTTGAGTGATGATGTCTCTCTTCATGAGTATGATCTTAGTCAATATGTAGATATGGAAGGAGAATCAATTAATACATGGGTAAGATACTTCTAACAAAGTGAATTTTTGTCGATAAAGTATTTCAGCCATTTACGTGTTTTCTATTTGGTCCAACGTACGGAAGTTGCATAGTGTTGCAGTGCTATGTGGTCAAAGAGTTATGTTCTAAGGCATTAAAAATGGCTTGTGGTGTACTTACTGATGAAGAACAATGTTATTTTATCATAGTATTCGTAGGCGATTACGTACTTATGATCAGCCCATTTTAAATGAATTTTTATTTAGACTGATTTCGATAAAAGGGACTCATTACAATTACTTTCGCTGTGCATGCAAAACGTTTAACTCGAGCCTGTATATCCGTCTGTCGTCTCACTTTTATTAGATAAGATATATTTACAATTACTTTCGGGAGCTATTTGACTCGACTATTTTTTGGTAAATACTAGGTATTTTGATGGCGAGCAACTTATTTTGAATTCTGACTATATTTTGGTGCACAGAAGTTTTGTAAACTTGTTTTTTACTCTTTGAGTTAAACAACGTAACTGTAATTTTTGTTATGAATGACTGATTCTTCTAATCAGTCAGAGCTTTAATTTCGTACTAAATGGACTATGAAAGCGTTTTTAGAGAGCTATAAGGAATGTGTGAATACTTGTAATATCAAAGTATCTGCTGACTCCTGTTATAACCTGCACTTCTGCATAAAGTTTATTTTGCATTTTTCCGACTAATTTAATTACAAGAATTTACAAATATCTCATTTCTTATCTGTAGATTGCTGTAGAACAAATATTGGGGAATCGTAAATTAAAGAGTTCAAAGATTACGAAAGCGAGTGAGTAATCGTACTTACTTTTTCCTTAAAACTTTTATTATGGATAGTTTTCAAAGGAGTTGTGTTCCAATCCCATCCCAGCGACTTTGGTTAGTGAAACCGGGTGTTGTCGTTAGCACTCACACAAAAAGTACTACTGGAAACCCGGAAATTTTAATTACTGAACCACATAAATTAAAACGAAAAAGTTATACAACAGATCAGCCTAAACATAACGAGTTTTATATTCTAGCATGTCTTCTCGTGCTCATAAAGGACATCTGTTCGTGTAAAACTTTTATATAACAGGGGAATTATATAACTTACTATACTGTATAGTATGTTGGTCCATACGTTTTTGTGCTATCATGTTTTCGGCTAATTATCTATCTTTACTTTGAAAAGCCTATAGTCAGGTTTTTCTATTTGTTTAAACGTGGTACGTTGATATGTAACATTTAAATTGTTCCGGTTGTATGTCTCACTAGTAGATCTTATGATGTTTTCATTTCATACATGAAGTGTATATAAGTGCTAAAATTAACAATGAATTGTTAATCGATCTCTGAGCAATGTTATTCGGTTGTAGTTGAAATTCAGTGACTTGCTTAATTCTCGTTGTCATGGCCTAAGTAATGGATTGTTATTATACAGATGTAGGATTTATAGCTCATTCAATAGCGAAATGATGGTTGTTTTCAGAAAACCACATTTCTACTATGTTGGAGATGTTAAATCCCCAGACACGACATTGTTCTTATTTTGCAAGTTTATCAAGGGAATTAATTGAAGTATAGCATGAAGTCAGTTTTCAAATTCACGTCTTGATTTAAGGTGATTTTTATTCATCAACTTTCAGTTCTCATTAATCCGTTATGATTTTTGTTCATTTAATTTGCAGTTCATTTTCATTGTACTAATTCTCTGTGATTTTGCGTTCTCGTGACAATTGTTCAGTTTGATAATTTATGTAACTAGTAATTCAGTCGTTATATGGTTGAATGAACTTGCATATAAATAAATTTCCCCAAGTCTTTACCAAATGAACATCCCTTACAAAATTTGTATCTTGGAGTAGTCAGGGCTAGGGAGGAACAGAGCTGTCGTTAAATTTAACACTGTTACCGTAAACACATCAGACTCTTAAATAGTCTAAGTTTTTGTTATATCCCGATAAGAATAATGAATCGTAATTCTTGGGGTCCATTTATGGGCCATTACTATGAGTATATTTTTATCGTCTAATTGTTATGTAACTAAACTGTTCATATTCATGTCGCTCTTATTATAAGCTTTAATTTGACCGATAGACTATTACTATACGATTTACCATTCTTGAATTATGGCCTGTCTATCAATTACTATCTCCCTCATTCACAGCTTCTTTTGACTAAATATTGTACAAATGTTGTTTCATATTTTATGGTACGTTGTGGTCTGTTTGATTGGATATAAACCGAGTATGTTTGGAGTAAATTATTCATATTGCAGAGGCTGAGATTGGTGTTCTGGACTTAACTGGCTGGGCTAGACAGGAAGCAAGACCAATCAAGAGTCTAGGCTGCTCGCACGTGTTTTATGCGTCACTGGTTCGATCGATAATTCGTTGCTCTCTGATTGGCGGTATCGTTGTGTTATCCAATATACAGGGCACACAGGTTCACAAGTTATAACAGTTTTATACCGAGGAATTTACATATTAAATGTGTAGCCGTTTTATGAAATGATTTATAATAAATGCAAGCAAAACAAGGTATATTGAATACCGACAAAAGCGGTGCATTAGATCAGCAATCTGATGATTTAAAGTAGTGTTAATAGTTATTGGTATAACAAAAATCGTATTTGAATAATTCTTTTTAAATGTTCGTTAGTTTTAAAGCTGAAGATGATGTATATGCAGTTATTTTTCGTTTTTAAATAACAAGAACTCAGTATATGGGGTTTTGGATAATTTTAACCGTTATTAAAAGTTGTTGATATTAGTCACTATCAAATGCTTATCACTAAGTGGAATGACTATTTCGAAATGTTTCTGATACATATCATGAAATAACCGAGATTTTTGTTCACATTATGTTATCTAAGTGAGTGGAAGTGTTCATGTTCCTGTCGCAATGTTCAGTTCCTTTCTCATTAAAATCCTTTGTGATTGCTCTAAAATCAATATGCTACAAATAGATAATGATGAAAAACCTGACCTTTTTATTTATGAAACTTTATAAATGGATCTACAACTTTTATAACTCACACATAATATTTACAGAAACATTCAACCCATCGAGCATACTTTCAAGGTATTCTGACATTTTTTGTTTTGCATAAATTACAAATTTTCTCATTACGCAACAGGAAACATTATACAACTCGATAGAATAGGATTAGCTAGATTCGTGCTTTTGCTCATATCACTGCAATTAATGTTATTAATTCCTCACATCTTAAATCATTGGATTATTTAGTCTTCATATTTTTGTATAACGCAAGTAGTTTCACCACTTTGATCCATATTTGTTGAAATAGATGAGGTTGGACAAAGTACTCATGTTCTTTCTCCAACGAATGGTGTAACAATTTATGACGATCAATCTCAACTTTAATTTTAAGTAAGCCATGTTTTAGGAAAGCTGTGCTGGAATGCATGTGTTTGACACATTTATTTTAAGTGGTTACACCTCACCTATATATTGCAAGAAACAATTAATAGTTATGTATCCCTCTAATGGTCACCTCACTAGCGTTAGCCTAGATATTCAAGGAAATAAAAATGTCACTAGACTGAACTTATTTGCTCCTTGATATCAGACAATCTTCACTTAATAAACATTTAGCTCTCTAAATTTCCTCCCAACCTAACTCCAACTAACTGATATCCTTGGAAATCATTGACAGATACTGTTATAGTGAAAATAAATTCTCTTGCACGAATTGTTTTAAATTTTTTGATTCACTAGACGGGAAAATAATTTTTTACGTGAGCACCAAAGCTTTTTAGCGGTTTTATGTGTTTATGAAGTTAGTAAATTCATGTTATCATCTAATATGTTCTACTTTTAATCTTATACTTCTGTTTAGCTTTATGTTTAATTGCTCAAATTAGTTTTTATTTAAATTATAGTCAGTGAAGCTGTAAGGAGCTTTTCATCCAACAACAAAGAAATCGTTGAACAAGAATATTTTGTTAAATTTATTGATCAGTCCTACTGGCATTGTGCATGGATGAGTGGAGCAGTTCTTTTCACCCTTAACCCGAGTAAAATACGTGCTTATTTCAGGACTAAACAGAATACCAGTAATCAGAAGCTAAACCCGAATAGCTCCAAATTAAGTCCAAATCATGAATGTGGCCAAATAGAGAATGGAGATCATGATATTGCCTCAAACTCTGGGTCTAAACTAACAACATTGGTTTCTCATTCGAGTGAAGAAGAGAGTGACGTTGAAGATAATTTAAGAAAATGGAGTAAGGATGCTGAGCTGGACGTTAATGAGTAAGCTTAAATATGGACGATATTGTATGTGTTCTTTCCTTTGTTTGTTTTTGTTAATAACTCTCTGATTAGCTCTTGATAGTAAATCAGTGGAGCTTCATACCTGCACGTTTCGAATGTATCACAAAATTGAATATACTTCAGTATTGTGTTTCTTAGCTTGTTTGTAATCTTTTGTTTTTATTGAACAGGATCTCTCTAGCGCCAAAGACCTGATCATTGTTTTATTTACCATTTGGCAGATATTTTGTGTATAAGTAGATGATTCAAACTAACATTCAGTCGTAAACTTTATTCTCCAAATAACTTCTTTTGTTGATTTGATTTAGTTTTTCAGAGTATGGTCTTTTCCAAAGTTACTGTTTAAGCTATCTGTGCACCTAATTCAAATGTGGAATGGCTATCAGTTTTATGCTACTCCCCCTTTATAGTTTTCACTTAATTCTGGTTTATATTCGCTAGTGGGTGCGTATCACTTAGTGTATTTATCATATTGAACCTTATTTATTCTGATCCTTAGTGCTCAAGGGACCTCCTTTGGTGTAATTAATTTATTCAGTGTTGTCGAAGAATTTACTAACTCGATTTTTCCTATAACAAAATTACCTTGCATGAGTTATATATACCCCGTAAATATTTTTGTAATTAATAAATTGTCATTGCATAAAAGTATATCAATAATCTGTTTATATTGTTCCTAGCCAATTTGTAAGCTCATAAATTCTCAACTACTGTGCTCGGTAATAGTATATTAAAGTAATGTAGTTGTTTCCACTTTCATTGGTAACACAAAATACACAATGATCGTAGTTATTGTACCTTATATGTTTTAGGATTTACTTAGATATCTTTAACTTGCTTATTTGAATTTCCTGTTGCAGAAACAATGTATTTTTCTACTTTCTGTTTACAAAGGTGGATTGCTAATTATCCGAAACGTGCTGGTTCACGTCGTCGCTATCTTCTACGATGGGGTGTCGAAAGTCACACACTTATTCCTGAACGTGTTTTAGCTGTTGGGGATTCATTCACTCCTGAAAGGTTTAAAAAGGTTGAGGGAATAGACAGCAAAGACAAATCTAATCGACCACCTAATACAATGAAGTGGCCAGAATATAGAGAAGTCCTTGTCAAATGGTTGCATTTGCCGTATATTTATGCAACGTGGGAGACAGTTGAATCAGATATATTGAGTTTGAACTCTCGTGGAGTTGATCATAAAAGTCAAAAAAGTGCATACAAAGTTCTTGATCCTTGCGGACGCAATTTATTACCACGTCTAGTGAGGCGACATATCATTAGGCTAGCTGATAAATATTGCTCTCGTGTTGCGACCATACTATGTGATGTATACGGAAATCAACTTACACCGGGAAGAAAGAATAGAAGTACCGGAAATTGGAAAGTATGTTCTTTATTTTGTTACATACTTATATCTTCTGTACTTCGTTTTAGACAGCTACTTATTTTCTAGTACTCATTTAACCACTGTAGGTCAAATCTGAGGATGTTAACGTGTACTTTTTAAGTAAATTACCTTATTCCAGTAGTCCTTCATCTCTACAAGACTACGTATGATGCCTATTGTTATGCATCCAACTTAGGATGATTCGAAGGGACTAAGCTGTAGCCTCACATATCCCACATTTGTTGAATATTCTGTAGTTTTTTCTAAATATAAAATTGTTGATTAGAAATGATCCCGGAAAATTGGTGAAGTTAAATAAGTGAATTCTCTTATGTGACCTTCTTGCGGGTCCGTTTTGTCTTATATGATACGAGATGTTGTTCTGGATATTATGTAGAGTTATTAACTTCGTTTCTTATTTGATCTAGTCAAAATGGATCGATGAACAACCTTCTTATTTGTCCCCAATTCACCACAGAGTTCTTCATCCTTATCAAATAGAAGGTGTGAGATGGTTATGGCATGCATATCATAATAATATCAACGCTATTCTGGCAGATGAAATGGGCCTGGGAAAAACTGTACAAGTGATAGCTTTACTATATTCACTCTGGAAGGAAGTATGTGGTGGTTATTTCTTCTTTGCTATACTTGGTTATATGTTATTTTACCAAGAAACACTAAAAGGATTACTGATAAAAAAACCTAATGCTAGTTTGTAATTTTAGGTTTCGTTTCGTACTTGGGATCTTAAAATGCATCTGTCGTTGTAAAATGTCATGCAGTACCTTTCATTATTCATCCAGTTCAATGGGATAGTAATTAACTATTCTTCGTACTTCTGCTCCAGCTTCTCATGCATTTTGCAAACTATGATGTCAATGTTTTCGTCGCAATTGTTAGTGGATTATTATATACGTTACGTGAAAATGAGTACGACAGTTGCTTCATTTAGCCTCAGTAGAATGCTTTTGGTTTTCTCTAAGTGAACATCAAGTTAACAGGGGCAGAAGGTTTCACAACACATATTGTTATTAGAACGAATAGTGCCCCATTTGAGCGGTTAATATTCCAGACTAAAATAAAGAAATGTAGAACATAAAAGATGTAATTAGTTCCTCAATTAATGATAACTACAGTCCAACTTCATGTTTAATTATGCGAATGTTTAGCGTGACCCTTGCTATAAAACAAAACTTAAGCTTCTTGAAGTTAATCTTAGGATAGCCTACATATCTTAGCAGTTCAAATAGACTTTTTTAGATAACTTAAATCTTATCAGACGAGAATTGAGGTTTTGAGCAATAATAATAATATTTTATTCCACAATAACTTAAGCACCAGTACTTCAATGGAAATAGTTATTTCTATATTTTAGTAAAATTCTATTTCATAAGGTTCTTAAAAGAAAACGACCACTTGATGTCTAGATTTCACCATCCAATCGACAAAACTTGCTATCGTGGATGGATGTTTTCTATGTTGTGAAATAACCCAATAACGCACTGCATTTGGTTTTGAAATCTGCTCATTTCCTAGTACCAATGATCATGACTTATTTTATTGCATTTCACTCATGTAATAATAATAAGTAGTATTCGAACATTTGGATCCGATAAAATCGAATTTAAATACTTGCTACCTTTGTTTGTAAAAATACAGATAGATTGTCAAACTGCGTCTTCACTATCGGTAATTTGGGTTTTATTTAGGAGAATGATTATGGACCATTTATCATAATGGCGCCTCTGTCAACGTTACAGAATTGGGAGAGGGAATTTTCGATATGGGCACCTGATTTTTACATCGTTGTTTACAGTGGCGACAAACAAGTTCGTGCATTGCTTCGGTGAGTTTGTGTGCAATTTTCGGTGTCTCAGTAAGTATGTGTATTATGCTTTTGAAATATCTATGAAATCACAGTATTATGTCAATGTTTAAAAGTAGTGTCAGAAGATACATATTTTTCTACTGAAGGTAATATTTTCTAGCTACCCATTTAAAAATTATCATGAAAAACACCACACAACAAGCGTTATCCACTAAAAATATCCGTGTACCACGACGCGCAATACTGACAAGTGTTGGAAACGTTTGGAAGAAAGTAAGGGGCGACCCAACCATAGCATGGCACCAGTCTTTGAAGTTACTAACTTTTAGTCTGTGACATGTTGGTAGATGCAGACTACTTGCTTGGGGTCCGCGTGACAATCGTAACCAATGGTTGGAAACTCTGTGTGACATGGCTCACAATCGACCACAATGGCGTAGGTGTATACATTCTTTGTCTTTGCTTAAACCGTTAGATTAAAATTGCTTTATACATTTCTTTCTTCCTATATTATATCCTTGTATTCACTCTTTCTTTTAGACGTTCCTACCATTGGAGTGACTACTTCTATGAATTCGGTGTTCATCTTGTTGTGCTAATGAGGTGTGGCAACTTGAACCGATGCATATGTGTGCCTGGTTCTACGTTGTAGCTAACTGAATAAAAATATCCAAACTAACTCTTCTTGTTGAGCCTTTTCACTGACATACTTGTAATTGACCCACAGTTCTTGTGCTTAATCTGAAGCATGTTAATAAAATGATTCTATTAATCTAAGACGTTACATTCATGGTCTTCTGAAATTTTTGAAGGGCACCCTGAAAATTCTCACCATGAGTTTTGGATCTGTTACATACGAAATGCTGTTCTTGATCTTTCTGCAATGGTACTGTTGGGATACTCAGAAAAAATATCCCAGAAACAATTATCCGGTTAAGTCTAACGCTACCCTTGAACGTTAAATGGTGTCATTTCCCTATTGGTCGTTTCCCTACTGATCAATATTTATTTCGCGTGTCATTTTCCTATTGGTCAATATTATTTAACGTGTCATCTTTCTGTTGGTCAATATTTATAGTAATCCTAACTGTATAAATATGCATTTGTTTGTAAGTCATTATTCTGCTGCTCCTGACCTCATAAACGATTTTCCATCTAAGGTTCGTGTTCTGATATATTAGAGATCGGGAACAGTATTGGGGTCGAACTGGGATATCTGAAGCTAGTCAATCGGTAGAATTTAGAGTAGCCAACTCACGATTCACAATAGGTACCTAGTATAGGAATGTGAAGCGAAATCATCTAGGTTGCGTTAGTCCTGAATAGATGCTTACTACTGAATTTTCATCTGGAATACAGAAGCTGCGCTTGGTGTTTGCTAGTCTACACCGCATAAAAAGTGATGTTGAGATTATATGCAAATTTGAGTGGATCAGGAAATACATTAGTTGAGTATAAAAAGTATTTTTTCTACTTCTTTCAAAGTTTGTGAACGTACGCTGTCTGCGAGTTTTGGTTTAAAGAAACGATTTTTATTGTTTCTCTTATGCAACTATTGAGGTTGGCTGTTTTTTTAATTATGTGGTCACTTTAAAATAATTTTGATTCAGGTTCTTTTCGTCGATAAAAGATAACTTTGTGCTTAAAGTTAATATATTCGCTAAAAATCATTGTCTTAAAACAAAGTATAGTACCTTGATTAAGTCGTCAGTTTTTCCATTTTATTCGTGGATATCTGACACTAATAAACTCATTGCTTAAATATTTCCCAACTACTCTCTGTTGTCTTACTAATCAATTTTTTCTTTAGAGAATATGAATTTCGTTTACGAAATGCTGGAGGAATACCTGCGTTCCATGTACTGATCACCAGCCATGAATTAGCTTGTATTGATCGTTCATTTTTGAAGAGTTTTGATTGGAGTGCTTTAGTTGTGGATGAAGCTCACCGTCTGAAAAATAAACAGTCTCGTGTACGTAAAGCAATTACTGTGTGTTCATTTCCTTTATTTATACAATATATTGAAAAATGCAACAATAATCAGTTTGAAACTTTGAGTAGCTTTATTAAGAATAGACTAACAGCCCTGAAATTTCTGGGCAATCAGCTTTCCTTCTGATCACTGGCTCAATTTTCAGGAGTTTGATTTCCTAAAATCAGCCACTTCACGATATGAAAGCACTATTTTTGAGTATCAATAGTAGAGATATGTCTTCAATAAATTACCTATAATACACGTCGTTAAAGTCCGCCTGTAGCTCTTCTAGAGTTACTGCCGGTCCCAAGCCCGGGTAAAGGAGGAGGGTTGGGCATGGGGTTAGCGTCCCCATCCCGTAGAAAACTAACTCGCTAAAAAAAACGCTTACCAGAAAAAATAATTCAAACCATTTTAACTCTGCCCTGGAAGTTAGAAGGTCTTCATTTAGAAGAATTATGACGCTTCATGGTGAAAGCCGAGTTCCTTCGGAAACCACGAGGCCGATGCCCCTTCTAACACCCAGAGCAAAAGTTTTTGTAGGTACATGGAACGTCCGAACAATGTGGGAGACCGGGAAGACCAGTCAAATAGCAACGGAAATGAGGAGATACAACTTGGCAGTACTGGGAATCAGTGAAACTCACTGGACCCAAGCTGGACAGAAAAGGCTAGCTACGGGAGAGATGCTGCTATACCCCGGTCACGAAGAGGACAATGCTCCACACACTCAGGGAGTCGCTCTTATGCTGTCCAAAGTAGCACGAAATGCACTTGTAGGATGGGAATCTCACGGATCCAGAATCATCAAAGCATCATTCAAAACAAAGAAGGAGGGGATCACAATGAATATTATCCAATGTTATGCACCCACCAATGATAGCAACGACGACATTAAAGATCAATTCTACGAGCGGCTGCAGTCAGTGATAGAGAAATGCCCAAGAAAGGACCTCACCATTCTAATGGGAGATCTAAATGCCAAAGTCGAAATAGACAACACCGGATATGAAGATATTATGGGACGACATGGACTGGGACAGAGAAACGAAAATGGAGAAAGATTTGCAAATCTATATGCATTCAACAAATTGGTCATAGGGGGCACAATATTTCCACACAAGCGTATACACAAGGCTACATGGATCGCACCGGATCACACTACAGAGAACTAGGTAGATCATATCTGCATCAACAAAAGATTTCGAAGGACAATGGAAGAGGTGAGAACCAGGATAGGTGCTGACATTGCTTCAGATCACCACCTTGTTGTAGCCAATTTAAAACTGAAGCTAAAAAAGAACTGGACAAACAGCAATACAAAGGTTCAATACAGCCTTCCTTCGAGATACTGACAGACTCAATGAATTCAAGATAGCTCTCAACAACAGGTTCCAAGCCTTACAAGATCTACTGAAGGAAGAAGAAACTACTATGGAGGCCAACTGGAAAAGCATCAAGGAAGCATTAACTTCAACGTGTCAAGAGGTCCTGGGCCAAAAGAAACACCATCATAAGAAGTGGATCTCTATAGAAACACTGGACAAGATCAAAGAAAGGAAGAACAAGAAGGCAGCAATAAACAACAACCGAGCACGAGCAGAGAAATTCCAGGCACAAGCTGAATACACAGAAGCAAACAAGCAAGTAAAGTGAAGCATTAGAGCCGACAAGAAGAAATACGTGGAAGAACTGGCAACGACGGCGGAAAAAGCTGCTAGAGAAGGAAATATGAGACAGCTTTACGATACAACAAAGGAACTATCAGGGAAATACAGTAAACCAGAGAGACCGGTCAAAGACAAAGAAGGCTATCCAATCACTGAAATTCAACAACAGCGGAACAGATGGGTAGAATACTTCGAGGAACTCCTGAATAGGCCGGCTCCAACGAATCCACCGGACATCGAAGCAGCACACACAAATCTTCCCATAGACGTCAACCCACCAACGAAGGAAGAAATTAGAATGGCCGTCAGACAAATCAAGAACGGGAAAGCAGCGGGACCCGACAACATACCAGCTGAAGCACTGAAGTCAGACATCGAAGTAACTACAAACATGCTTTACCTTCTATTCAAAAAGATTTGGGAGGAGGAACAAGTGCTGGTGGACTGGAAAGAAGGGCACCTCGTCAAGATTCCAAAGAAAGGAGATCTAAGCAAATGTGAGAACTACAGAGGCATTACACTACTGTCAATACCAGGGAAAGTCTTCAACAGAGTGTTGCTAAACTGGATGAAAGATGCAGTAGACTCCCAACTTCGAGATCAACAAGCTGGATTCCGTAAGGATCGGTCGTGCACAGACCAAATTGCAACACTACGGATCATCGTCGAACAATCAGTTGAGTGGAACTCGTCACTATACATCAACTTCATTGATTATGAAAAGGCATTTGACAGTGTGGATAGGAGGACGTTATGGAAACTTCTTCGACACTACGGAGTTCCTGAGAAGATTGTCAATATTATCCAGAACTCATACGACGGACTACAATGCAAAGTCGTGGAGGACAGCTGACAGATGCATTCCAAGTCAGGACCGGAGTCAGACAAGGCTGTTTACTCTCTCCCTTCCTTTTTCTCCTGGTGGTCGACTGGATTATGAAGACCTCGACATCTCAGGGAAAATACGGAATACAATGGACAGCTCAGAATCAATTAGACGATTTGGACTTCACAGATGACCTAACCCTCCTATCGCGTACACACGAACAGATGCAGACAAAGACAGCCAGTGTAGCAGCAGTCTCTGCATCAGTATGTCTCGGAATACACAAAGGGAAAACCAAGGTCCTCAAATTCAAAGCGGAGAACAGCGATCCAATCACTCTTGATGGCGAAACTCTGGAAGATGTAGAATCCTTCACATACCTAGGAAGCATCATCGATGAACAAGAAGGCTCAGATGCAGACGAAAAGGCGAGGATTGGCAAAGCAAGGATCGCATTCCTACAATTGAAGAACATATGGAACTCGAAACAACTTTCAACCAATATCAAAGTGAGAATCTTCAATACCAACGTTAAGGCAGTTCTACTGTATGGAGCTGAAACTTGGAGAACTACAACAACCACCATCAAGAATGTACAAGTATTTATAAATAGCTGTCTTCTCAAGATACTCAACATCCATTGGCCGGATACCATCAGCAACAGTCTTTAGTGGAAGAGAACAAATCAGCTTCCAGCTGAAGAAGAAATTAGGAAAATACGATGGGAATGGATAGGACATAGATTATGCAAATCGTCAAACTGCATCACGAGACAAGCCCTAACTTGGGATCCTGAAGGGAAGCGGAAAAGAGGAAGGCCAAAAAACACATTACGTAGGATAATAGAAGCAGATATGAAAAGGATAAATAGCAACTGGAAGTAGCTGGAAAGGATTGCCCAGGACAGGGTTGGATGGAGAATGTTGGTGTGCGGCCTATGCTCTTTCACGAGGAGTAACAGGTGTAAATAAGTAAGTAACACGTCGTTAACAAGCATTCGGTCGTTAATCATTCAGGTAGATGATGGTGAAGTCTGAATCTTAAGCAAAACATAAATTTTGTAATAAGAAAGATTTGTATCCCAGGTGATTACTTTTGATGTTTTTGTCTTCTTTGAAGTAGATGGTTTGATTGCATAATTTTCATTGTCGTTTTTGGCATCATTAGAACCTACTACATAAAGTAAAGTCTGTTAATGTCTATAATGACAATGAAAGCTCAGGAAAAATACCATGTAGCTGAAAACTCATTAACATCAAAAGCAGATAAATTTTATCACATATGGGAATTTCGCATTGGGTCACACTAAATCCCTACATAGTTATGAGTTTTTACATCCTTCATCTTATGGTAAACAACTAACTACATAAAGTTGATTAGTGAAAATGTCAAACATTTCCATCATACAGGTGGATTATAAGTAGTAAAAATTATACACTCCTGTTATTCGACCTTCTGTATTATGCATCACTGAATTGTTTTTTTATTTTCACTTCGTAGTTTTTCAAAGATACTAGTCAGTATCATACTAACTTTAAAATCCTCTTAACTGGAACGCCATTACAAAACAATTTAGAAGAATTATTTCACCTATTAAATTTTGTTGAACCGAAAAAATTCACGTGAGTTTTCTTCTTTATTTAAGATATATGATCTTTTTGGTGGTGTTTTGTTCTCTGAGCTGGATGGTTTGGTCGTGGAGCTTTCGTCGTTCTTCTGGACGACATCATCAGCACAAACTTCAGATAGAAGTGAAGTGTTCGAATTTCTCCATATGTGTTTCACAGCTTGTTCTGTGCACCTCGATGTTGATTGGTTCTTGTTGACCTTAAATTTATCATTGTTTACTTCTTTGTTTTGGTTGTGTTTCCCATTGGTTTGATTTTTGTTCCTATATTTATGCATGATTTTACTGATTGGTTGATAAATTGGATTGATTTCAATATGTTTGTTGATTGCTGATTGACCTGAGTGCCAAGCTTCTAAAAATTCTCTGGTGTTTTTGAAGTTTCCTCTGTCTAGGATTTCTACATTTTCCCAATCGAATGAATGTCCGTAGTTAGCCACGTGTATTGATATAAGTGAAGAGATATCATGGCGTTTGACTGCTAATTGATGTTCATGTAGGCGTAGGTGGAGGGGGCGTCCGCTTTGTCCGATGTAGTGTTTGTCGCAGTTGGTACAATTTATTTTGTAGATGATGTTTGATTTGTTTTCCTTTGTTATAAATTGTACCAACTGCGACAAACACTACATCGGACAAAGCGGACGCCCCCTCCACCTACGCCTACATGAACATCAATTAGCAGTCAGACGCCATGATATCTCTTCACTTATATCAATACACGTGGCTAACTACGGACATTCATTCGATTGGGAAAATGTAGAAATCTTAGACAGAGGAAACTCCAAAAACACCAGAGAATTTTTAGAAGCTTGGCACTCAGGTCAATCAGCAATCAACAAACATATTGAAATCAATCCAATTTATCAACCAATCAGTAAAATCATGCATAAATATAGGAACAAAAATCAAACCAATGGGAAACACAACCAAAACAAAGAAGTAAACAATGATAAATTTAAGGTCAACAAGAACCAATCAACATCGAGGTGCACAGAACAAGCTGTGAAACACATATGGAGAAATTCGAACACCTCACTTCTATCTGAAGTTTGTGCTGATGATGTCGTCCAGAAGAACGACGAAAGCTCCACGACCAAACCATCCAGCTCAGAGAACAAAACACCACCAAAATCATCCACCTGAGCTACAAATCTTCTCCACCATCTCAAAATATATGATCTTTATTTTCGTTATTTATGTGAACTGCTGTTATGGTTCTCCTTGAAGTAGCAGATATCCACATTCCTGAATTTGATGGATAATGTTTGAGAACACAGAAATGTCAATAAGAAGCCCAATCGACCACAATTATCCAGTAAATAACACCAAATCTTCTAAAAAATCATTTCTTCGGTTTGGCCTAGTGGTTTCCGTCCCAATTGGTTTATTCGTCATATATGCTGAAACCATTGTCTTTTACTGTCAGACATTATTTATTCATATGTTCCCATTCATGTTCATACCTAAAATAACTGATATTTCTCTTAGTATTAGGGTTACAGAGTAGGATTTTAGTGCTTTATCGATTGTTCAAATGCAGAAGAGAACACTGAATGATAGGTAATAAACAATGGTACAAATTGTGACTAACTGGTGGATGCTCACTAGACCCATCTTTTGAATCAAGCCTCTAAATGATTTGGAGTCAAAGATAAGACTACTAGCCAGAATTATAAGTTTTCTATATAATATTATATACTTATTTAAAACATATTAAGACAAAATCAACATGCTAGTGTCATGGGGAATTAGAAAAAACGATTTTGTAGGTCACTTACTTCCCAATGATTTAAGACTTGATCATCAGGCCTGATTCTTGGGCTTTGCACCAATTAGTTTCAATTATTTTTCCAATTTGCCGTATACACTTAGAAAATAAATCTGCACTAAAACTTGGCTTTCATAGATTTTAAGAAAATTATTGTGTTAAAGTTTATTTCAGTGGATCGAAATACACATCACATTATTCTCGAAGTTTTTGACTTTGAACCACATTCTTACAAACTGGATTTACTCTGAATACATATGCTCAATCTCATTATGTTTATTTATTAGTATTAAGAAACTTTAGAATATTTTTGAATATCGCCATAATGGTTCTACCTGTTTTTTATGCTTCTCTGAATGAAGATAAGTAGACAAAACCGTATTGGCGATGAATAAATTTTGAATTCTAGTGAATAATAAGTTTATCAGAGTAACTGATGATTATTTTTTCACAGATAATGCTAACTTATAGATCTTATCTCATTATAGTAATCATTATATTTTACCTTTCTAGAATTATTTTTATTTCTTCATGCTTTCCGTTCTAACGGTCACACAGTATTTACTCTTTATTTATTATTTCTAATGTAGTGATTTTCGAGCACTAAGTGAACAATGGGCTGAAATGCCAAAAGCTGATCGTATTAAAAATCTCCACGATTTACTCAAGCATCATTTATTAAGGCGATTAAAGTGCGATGTAATCCAAGATTTACCAAAGAAAACTGAAATTATTGTTCCAGTTGATATGACTTTACTTCAGAGGTGAGTGATTTTTTTTAGTTTAGTCTCATGTTTAATACTTTTTTGGTCCTTTTAAAATTACAGTCTTAAAATATCATTGCATCATTGTCTCACGCTAATCAATATATAGATATAGATATATATGTTGGTTTGTTTTTGTAGACGTCTTTATAAATATATTCTAACAAATAATTATGAGGAATTACGATGTGGAAATCTAATAAATAGTATTATGCATTTGCAAAAGGTGTGTAATCATCCATATTTGATGCAAGTTGGAGATGCTATTGCACCACGCTTAAACCCAAACGACGAAACAAATGGGCCATACGAACCCAGAGCTTTGGTACAAGTCAGCAGTAAATTGGTTGTATTAATGGAATTACTTCGTGGATTGTTTGTTGATGGTCATCGAGTATTGATTTTTTCCCGCTTCACAATGATGTTGGATTTATTGGAAGAGGTTTTGACTAATGCCAGGTAAGTGTTTTCTTTTAAAAAATAATATATATTTTAACTTTTTTAACCAACTCATTCGATATTCTAAAATTAGAATTTATCAAATTCCCAGTTTATTCAACCTAATCAACTTTACTGTGCCAAGAATTTGATGTTTACCAGGTAAATTAATTTACATCTCAGCAGATGTTGAAATAACATTATTTGTAAAAACCCTTGTTGACTTTCTGTGGTTCGATTGGCACTAGGTTACCATGTTACCAAGTTTTGAAATGTTCTTTTAAGTTTTTAAGTTATTGACTAGTAAAAATAACACGATCAAAGTTTAACACTAATAATGTAGATGTTTTTTGTTTGAGACGTTAGACCTTCCGCAATGGAAAAAAGGTTTACTATGTTAATATCGGATCAGTGCTACATAAGTAGATTTTAATTTCGTATTGTGTTGACGGTAAGCATGAGAGATCAAAAGTTACATTCTATTATAGATTTCAAGCAAAATTTGAACTCTACAAACTACTCGTCGAATATTAGTTATTTAGGTGATATATATACTACTGTTCCGGAACAACTATTGAAGAAATGTGTTGTATTTATGTCTTTATGTACGGTGTAATTAAAGTTATGTTTTAGTGAACAGAACACGAGTGGGTCAATCGAATGTATTTAGCACAGAATTACAGGACTTGTTAATAAAACCTAACAATCAAATGGTAAATACGTAATTTGTAAAATGTCCATCAATTGTCTCATAATGACTCAGACTTCATTGTTCTTGCATTTTCATACAAATTGCATTCTGTTCCCATTCTTTACTGTTCGATCCTCTTGTCTCTCTGCTGCCAGACCTGTTCACGAGTAACGTCATATACTACCTATGTCAATGTAAGTAGCACACACCACAGTGGTGTTAACCCAAATAACTAGTTAATATTTCATGTTACTAACTGAATATTTTAGTCCTAAATAACACATGATAAAGTAGAATGAACCATGGTGAAAAAAAACCAAACATGTTAGATGGGAGGGAAGGTGAATCATTGAATATTTGATTTTATAGTTAATAAGTATCATGGTTGTCTTGTAAATTTTTTGATCATGAATGAATTGTTTCAAGATGGTCAGGTTATATCAACTCTCCTATACTTAAGTTTGTTTACGGTAAATTTTGTCAAGCCTTTCGATTAACTTATTTAACAGACAGTTATTCGAGCAGCAACAATTTGTTTGTCTGTCTATCTACCTGCATTATTATTATGTCTGTATGATCATGTGTGCTAGATCACATGTGACAGCCTACGCAGGTATTGGTCTCTCTAGGTTATGTATCAATTACTTAAATATCGCTCTATGAAACATTCGCTTTCCCATATATATGTGCTTGAAACTTGTTAATTGACTATCTGACTCTTAATTTAACTCTGCATTCTATGGCTCGCGTGCATTAGCTAAACCACTACAAGCTTTCATGAGTTATGGAACTGGAGAGACTTTTTTAGAATATTTATTTGTCTCTTTTCCTATATCCATTATTTTTATCATGTTAGAATCAAGTAGCAATATTAGTGAATTCGTATTGTTTTACGCGTAAAACATGTAGCGTTTAACAAATGTTTTAAAATGTCTTATTGTTAAATGAATCTGTACTGTTGTGCCAGAATCGTTTTGATTGTAGTATACTGAATAGAAATATTACCTTTCATTCTCTTTATTTCAAAAGGTATAAATATGTTCGTATTGATGGTCGTGTGCGGGGTCCTTTAAGGCAAGTTACTATCGATCGTTTCAATGCTCCCAACTCGGAATTCTTCATTTTCCTTTTATCTACTAGAGCCGGTGGAGAAGGAATCAATCTTGCTTCAGCTGATACAGTAAATCATTATTTACCACTTTAGAGTAGCATTATTTTTATTATTAATTGAATATAGTTTATGTAATCAACTGTATTTCAAAATTGATATAAATTGAAAATAGTAACCATTCAGAATTTCGCTGGTCGGCTGTCGGATTTCAGCATATTTTCTTCCTTACTTCCAGTCAAGGTGTGTTGGATAATAGTGCAGTGGACGAAGACTTGGTGGGGATAACCTATTTACTATCTAACGCAAAATTACGGAGTTCTTTGATAAAATGTGCAAACCATGGATGAAATACTTCATTTTAGAATCCTCCATAAATTGTACTTTACATCCTTCATGCTTCGTCCGCTTCCCATTTTATTTCTATTTTCTTCAGTTCACTTCTGATCGGTGTTACATGCTACTTATGTTTGCCAATATAAGTAGCATATACCACAATAGTACTGAAGAAAACCTTCATTATTTTGCTTTTCACTGCTTACTAGTGAATTCTTATTTTTTGATGTTTATTTCATTCAAAGTAAAATTAGCACTCGAAATTCTTCATTAATCGAGACATGTTTAGCATATTAATTGGTCAACTTAAATATTTTGTTGATGCTGAACTCATAGACGTATTAGTGGATGTCTGTATCGTAATCAGTTTGAGTTGGTGAATGTAGATTTTGCATTACATACACTATCATGGTGGGAGTTTTGTCCTAAAAATTTAATAATCAGTAATTGGTGATCATTTTCATCCAAAGTTTCTTCAACTTTCATTGTCGTATTACACTATTTCCGTAAATAAGTTATATTGTTTTATTAATGAGTTGAGTTATGCTGTGCGAAATACATTTTAGATTAAGAGAGGATGCATAAGTAAGCTATAAAAATGCCATAAAATTTAAACTGAAAACCGCTTTCGCTTATGGATCACTGTTTTTCCAGACACTTGGAAAATCTACTTTTCAAACTTCTCTGTATAAACTACTTGTCCATTTCTTCATGACCAATTAATACTTACTTACTTACGCCTGTTACTCCTCGCGGAGGAGCATAGGTTGCCTACCAGCATTCTCCATACAACTATGCATTGTGAATTCCTTACAAGTTGCTATTCATCCTTTTGATACCTGCTTTCAATTCCCGATGCAGCGTTCTTTCGTCTTCCACTTTTCCGTTTCCCTTCAGAATTCATAGTTAGCAGTTGATTCATGATACAATCTGATGACTTCCTCAATAGGTCTCCTATCCACTTCAACTATAGGAATGCTGCCCAGTTACGTGAAAGTTTCCGCCTTTCCCATCAAGTGTTTAATTTACTGTTCTCCGTTTCTGAAGAATGTTCCAAAGGGTCATCCTATCTACACTGTCAAAGCTTTTTTGTAATCAGTGAAGTTGATGTATAGCGACGAGTCTCATTCAATTGATTGTTCAACGATGATCCATAGTGTGGTAATTTGGTCTGTGCACGACCGGTCCTTACGGAATCCAACCTGTTGATCTCGAAGCTGGACGTCTAGTGAATCTTTCTTTCGATTCAGCAGCACTTGAATTTTTTTCTGGTACTGGTAGTAGTGTGATGGTGCTGTGGTTCTCACACTCGCTGAGATTCCCTTTCTTTGGTATCTTGATGAGGTATCCTTCTTTCCAGTATGTTAGTGGCACTTGTTTTTCCTCCTAAATCTTCCAGAATATAACGTGGAGCATCTTTGCAGTTACTTCTATATTTGACTTTAGTGCTTCGGCCAGTATATTGTCAGGTCCTGCTGCTTTCCCATTCTTGATTTATCTGATGACCATCTTGATGTTTTTGATCGTTGGTGGAGGTCTTTAGGTGCTTTTTCGATGCTGGGTGGATTCAATAGAGCTGGTCCATCTGTTCCTCTGTCTTTGACCGGTCTCTCTGGTTTACTATATTTCCATGTCAGGTTCTTCGTCTTATCATATAATTGTTTTATATTCCCTTTTCTTTCAGCTTTTCCCACTGTCGTTGCTAGCTCTTTCATGTATTTCTGCTCGTCTGCTCTAATGCTCTCCTTCACTTGCTTGTTCGCTTCTGTATATTCAACTTTCGCCTTGACTTTCTCTGTTGTTGTTGGGCTTTTGTTAATTGCTGTCTAGGGTTTCGATAGAGATCCATTCCTTATGATGATGCTTATTGCGGTCTAGTACCTCATGACACGTTGAAGTTAGTGCTTCTTTGGTTGCTTTCCTGTTGTCCTACATAGTAGTTTCTTCTTCTTTGAGTATATCTTGTAAGACTTGGTGCCTGTTATTGAGAGCTATCCTGAATTCGTTGAGTTTGTCAGTATCTCTAAGGAAGGCTGTGTTGAACCTTTGTAATGCTGTTTGTCCAGTTGTCCAATGCTTCTTTCGCTTCAACTTTATCTTGTCAACTACCAGGTGGTGATTTGAAGCTATGTCAGCTCCTCTCCTTGTTCTCACATCTCTCATTGGCCTTCTGATGGTCGATCTAGATTTCTTTTTTGATCCGGTGAGATCCATGTAGCTTTGTGTATGTGTTTGTGAAAGAATATAGTGCTTCCTATAACCACTTTGTTAAATGTACATAAATTTGCACATTTCTACCCATTCTAATTCCTTTCTCTCAGTCAGTCTATGTCGTCCCATGTTATCTTGGTACCTAGTGTTGTCCATTCCATCTCTCTGGAACGTAGCCTTTTTGTGCAGCTTGGATCCACTGGGTTTCGCTTAATCCGAGCACCAGCAAGTTGTATCTCGTTCTTGCAACTTTTTGATTGGTCCTCCCAGTCTCTCACATTGTCTGGACATTCCATGTACCTATAATAATTGCTGCTCTGGTCGTTAAAAGAGGCATTGGCCTCGTGACTTCTGGAGAATCTCGGCTTTCACCATGAGGCATCATAATTTTTCTGAATGAAAATCCTTCAGCTCGGAGGGCAAAGTTTAAATGGTTTATTTTGACTAGCGTTTTTTTGGCAAGATTGTTTCCTACTTAATTGAGTTCCTGATGCCATGCCTAACCCTTCTACCTTACCCGGGCTTGAGACCGAAAGTAACTCGATAAAAGCTACAGGCAGAGTTTTCATGATTAATCCCCAGTATATATTTTTTACTCTTCCTGTAATGTGCTAAAATGATACTTTAATACTGACAACTTTAGGGTGATTAACCAAATTTTCGTTCGCCGATGTTCAATATTAGCGTAATTGTTAAGTTCTATTGCGGATACCTTGTTTCTAAATATCTTGGTTTTGATAAAATGTATTATTTTAGATAGACTGAGTAATTATTTTGTTGTGTATTAAAGTGTTGAGATAGGGGTGGTAAAATTTAATAATTTCATTAACCATTTTGAAGCTGTTAGTCCTCCGTAGATTTATCGTGTTTTACACTCTCACATAAGCCTCACTCTGAATGGTTAGTTTCATGGTGTCGCAAATCACAGTTCGCTTACGCTACTGTATTGTTGTGGTGCGTGCTACTTGTAGCGGTGTAAGTAGTATATCACGCGAGTTTAAAACGCAATGTCTGGCAGCAAAAGATTGGGGAAGATCAAGAAAGGAAGAGCGACAACACAATGCAATTAGTAAGGAAACGCATGAACAATGAAATGTGAGACAATGGATTGATGTTTGCAACAGGGACAGTCCAGGTTTATATGATGCATTGATATTTTGCAAATTAACGGTTTACTATATGGTTTTTCTATTTTACCAAGTAACTCTGTAATTTTGTGCTAAATACAATTCGGTTGTCCTCACCTTTTTTCTCCTTCACTACATCGTGGTCTATTAAGTCAACCTGCTTTCTGACAAGCTCTAGTATTTTCAATTGATTGTGATTACAAGAATTCGAGTAAGAAAATTAAATCTAGAATGCGATCATTCAATCGTTTTGTTTAATATTACAATCATTTACGCCTTGTAGTTGCGGTTAATATTTAATTTACGATGTAGTTTCATTGGTCTATGCGTACGACCAATCTATATGTATGGGACCCTAAAAGTTTGTATTCTCGTTTTATAATTAATCATATGTGTCCAACACTCTCTATCTTATTTTCAATTTAAGGTCGTGCTGTATGATTCTGATTGGAATCCTCAGTGTGATTTACAAGCGCTTTCTCGGGCTCATCGAATTGGTCAATCTAGGCATGTTGTTATCTATCGGTTCATAACACGTCACAGTATTGAAGAGAAAATATCTCAGGTGGCTAGGCGTAAACTTGCCCTTACTCAGTTAGTTGTCAATCAAAATCAGAAACGTCCAAAGGCACTGGGAACTTCGATTCCCGCATCAAGTCAACATGACTCGACTCAAGACAATAACGCACCAAACACAGACTCAAATTTTGATAACTCTAGAGTTAACCAAGATTGCGTCTCCAGATCTGATCAAGATACTAATCTTGCAGAATCAACACAAACACAATCGAATACTAAATCAGTAAGCCGGCTATCACGTTCAGAAATGGATGAACTTTTACGCTCAGGTGTAGAAGCTCTGTTTGCCACAGATGATCCTTACACTACAAAGGATTTGTACGATGCGGCTCGAGTAGATGGTACGTCTATTTATATTATAGTTGCCTAACCTTTTATTTTTGAACTGGTTAGTTATGGATTTTCTACCACACTTGCTTGTTGATGTTTAATAATATTAGTGTCACTTAGTTCCACCCTCAATAATGACTTAATTTTTATGAAGTGCCCGATTTTGCTACTTTTTCGAGTGACTAATGAATACTTTAGTGTGCTACAATGCTCCAAGTCCCCACAGTCCACATCAACAAAATGAATATAACTATCAGGTTTAAGAGCAGAACATGCGAAACTGTATTAACACTTGCAGTAGCAAACTAAACGCTATAACTATAATTCAAAAGGAACAAGTGATGTCGAAGAATCCAAGGTGTGAATTAACACTAAATTTAAAGGTATATACAAAAAGAAGGGGACTTCGTTCATCCTGCATTTCTCTGAACTGCTCAGCTGTCTCCAAACCTGTTCCTATTCTAGCCCGTAGGTGGTGGCTAGTTATGAGTTAACGCAGACACTGAGGGTTCATTACCTCAGCATTCGTTCTAGTATTTTTACTTATCTTCAGTTTTACTCACTTGGTGGTTCCACAATCAGCTATATTTGTTTATGACTGTAATCATTCTTAATCAATATGTATTTTTAAGTAGCATCTAGTGTTCTCATTCCTGCGAAAAAACATTTCAGAATAGCATGTTACTTCACTTATTTCTCGTGTCTGTTCTATACCGAGGGAGCAAAGATCAAATAAGTTGCCAAACGTTATTTAGTAATAAAAAATATTCCGATTATTTATTTACAGTCCAAAAACATCTAGAACTAGTCATTGTTATTTGTAGGTGACTTATAAGGTGTTTTATTTACCTTGATTATTTTGATTATTTTCACTAATGAAAGGTGATCCGTATCTTAAGTAAACTTCGACCCCCTGCTCGTACTTTTACATGTGTCCCTTTTTCTGCTTGTAGAGATTGAATCGAAAGATACTTATCAAAGAATTGTATATGATTCACAGGCTATTTCCAAACTCCTGGATCGTTCAAAAATGATGGCTGATTCCGAAGAGACTGTTCCAGCTTTTGACGAATATTTAAGTGCGTTCCGAGTAGCGCATTTTGACGAAATGAACGCTGAGCCTGTGGATTGTTTTGTAACAAAAAATAATGAAGAGCAGGTTAACAGAATGGAGATCTCTGAAAAAAATCCTGAATCAGTCAATCCAACCATGGTTACTGATGGAACATATGCTGAAGTATGGTTGGTTTTATTAAGATCAATTTTTCTTAAATCAGCTGTCGACTTCATAACTAACGAATTTAGATTAATTTTCAGTATGGGGTCGAGGAGACTGTTGAATTTTGTTGAAATCATATACCGATCTAAATCAGTTCATTAAAAACCTAGAAGCATTAGATGGACGTTTCGTCTTAATATGGCACTCCTCTCCAGAGCGCATCCACGATTCCACACGCGTCTTCCGTCTGATTTTAGTAATAAGCAACTTCAAACATCAGGAGAAACATCGTCAGACGTGACGACCCCAACGATCGACTCATCGATGGACTCAAATGGACTACATTGCCGTTTGTCATCGTTCAAGGAGCTCGGTAGAAGACTGTTGCCTGTTCTGGAACACATGTCTTGGCTCAAATGATGCCCTATTTCGAGCACGTATTTGTCTGCATCTTGCTGGACGTAGAAATTCAGAATGAAAAAGTCCCTTAGTTTAACTTAATGATGAAAAAGTTAAAATATATTTCAAAAAAAAACTAGATGAGTTAGTCAGCCATAAAAGCGAAATCAAACCCCAGATATCTGTGCATGATGTTCAAAAAACTATGAGAACAGCAGTGATATTTACTAGTAACTTAAACCAGAAAGATTAGGAAAAATCATTTGGTTTCGGCGACGTCGAAAGAACTGATAGATCCTCGGGACTTAATCCCATCTGGCTCCGAACACGATGAGGAACAGAGACAGTTTAAACGTAGGTTGATTAAAAGCATACGTAATGATCATGAGCAGTGCTGGGTAGCCGAAGCAGAAGATATGAAAAAGGCAGCTGCAATAGTTATCATTAGACAACTATTCAGATTTATCGAGGAGACGTGTAATAGAAATCTGGCTGTTAGTGAAACTATCTCGGAAAAAGACGGAGTTATTGTTCACTCTTAATTCAGGAGATTGTATCGATGGGAAGAAAACTTTAATAAACAGTTCAACTCGCCTTCAGCCACACTTCAGTTATTCACTACCTCCAAGCAACCTAAATGACGAATGGACATACATCTTCCACCTCATAGTGAAGTTGAAAAGGCTATAGCGAATCTATATCGAAGGAGAGAATCATGGCCTAGTGGATAACTCCTGAGATTTTTAAGGATGGTTGTCCAGTTTTAAAAGTTACTGAGATCTTAACTAGAATCTGGTAACTGGATGCAATCCCATTTGATTAGTCACGGTCTGTAAGAAAGAACAAAAATTCTTTTGTGACAGTCACAGAAGTATCAATTTAACTAATATAATGTCTAAAGTATTAGTCTCAATAATACTTCGACCGCTTACTTAGGGTTCGTAAAGAGCAAACTCGAGAAAACCAGACTGATTTCATATCTAAACGTGGGTGTATAGACTAAACATTCACCCTTCACTAGGTTTTGGAACACAAAAACTTTTTGATGATCGAAATTAGTTTTATTTCTTGAACTTAAGGAAGCGTTTAACATTTGACTGTGAGCTTCTCTGGCACCGTCTATCATTTGAAAGGTGCAAAAAAGTACATAAACCGTGTGCAAGCTCTCTATTCGAACAATACTGATTGAGTCAGAGTTTATGGTCAACTGTCACAAAAACTGACAACTTCAAAAGCTGTTCGTCAAGTTTGTCCACTTTCCCCATTTCTATTTAACTTTGTCATAAGCATTCTTTTAGTGATAACACACATCGTCTGGCTTTTTACGAGTTGATCTACCAGGAGATTATCTTGCTCACTTGGAATACGCAGACGATGATGGCGAAGAATCCGACAACTCTGACCACCTTAGGCAACCACGCAAACGTGTCTGAGATGCGTTTTTCTCTCACCTAATACAAAATGTTGCTCCAGGACGGGTCTGCGTCAACGCTTGAACTAATGATAAGGAGTGGTTTTATCAGCTTTCACCATTTGTGGCGTAAACGCGATATCAATCTGCCAACCGAAAGGTTAGTTTGCAATGCAGTAGTTCGCTCCGTACTACTTTATGGGTGGGGAAACTGACCGCGAATAGTAGAGGATATTCGTACATTATTAGTATTCGATCATAGCTGTCTTCGAAGTGTTGGTCGTGTACTTTGGGATTACGGAGTAATCTGTGACTGGGTTAGGAATAGGGTACTGGGTAAGGATCGCAAATTGATTGGTAAGGTAATTAGTCTTCATTAGTTGAAGTCGTTGGGACATATGTCCAACCACCGCCTACCCCGACGGGCGATATCTGGTATAGGAACATGCTGGAAGAAAGCCAGGGAGGGGCGTCCAGATCAAAACATAGCACCAGCCCATGAAATCATTAACACTTAAACTAAAGCATATTAATAGGCATAGACTATCTGTTTGGAGTCCGCATGATTATTGTAATCAATCGCTAGAGACTTGCAATAACATGGCTCAAAACAGTTTGGAATAGTACAAGTACTTCCATTCTGACTTCCCCCGAATTCTGAGCTTCTGAAGTCCTTATAATTTTTTATTATTTCACTAATCTGTGTTTTCTTGGATCGTGTCTTACATTCCTAATCTTTTCTATCAGCACTGGTACTGTTACCACCTATATTTCTCTGCGTTTCGGTCTAACGATTTCATCTTTATGTTGGTGGGGTATGGTTATTTATTTAAACAAATGAACATTGGTACAAGGAGGCACCAAGTGGATATGCGCCACATGAATCATTCGATTTGTGTGAGGGTTGGGATACTGCCCGGGTGCTCAAACCGTAGCAGGTGATTTTATTAGGGGCCACACCCGGAGCCTTTGACCTAAAGGTCTGATCCACAAGGTAGTAGAGTAACGTAAGGAGATGCAGTCCCATGGTAGCCGGTGACCAACGATTGGTTCTTACGCCATTTGTCCCCTCAGGATACTGAAGCCCATCTACACTACTGGTTTGGAACTGGGGTTTTCCAACTCCCTTAGGTGAACTCTTCGTGTCCACTAACCCGGTTTTAGCGCCGGACATTCGCTTTTCGTCCTCTCAATTTCGCAAACATCACCCCAGCTACGAGAAGGCAATGAGTAGGACCTCTCTGGCAGTGATTGTATGCACGTGGTCATGTGAGAGCACTTCGAGAGGTAGAGCTGACTCTCCCTACTCTCGGCCGTATCAGGGCATTCGGGGGCGGTGGGGTGTAGTAGCTTAAACCGGTGTACATAAGTACATACTTTGCAACTTATTGACTGACAAAGTGTTATCGCCAACCCTACGTCCAACCCTACTCCCTTGCCCGCGCTTGGGACCAGCAGTGTTCTAAGGGACACTGCAGTCGAAGTTTAATTAATATTTGGCGTACTTGGTAATTTCTTTTTATTGCTGATGGTGTGTTAACGAATTCGAAAACAATATACTATTTATTAGCAATTTTGTGATTCGCATCGTTTAGCCGCAAAATGTTATATCAGTGAAATTGTTTGCAACTTTTAATTTTCTGTTTCTTAGTCTATCGGGTTTGCTGATTTTTGGGACAGACTGCTACATGAACGCTATGAGCGTCTCTTGAATACTGAAGTTGAAGCGACAAGCGAATCCAGAAGAAACCATCGAACCATGCATAACCAAAGTATTAGAGACGTAGTAGGTGATAATTCTAGTGATTTGAACAAAGAATTACAACTAGAAAAGGATGATGAAAATTCAACTGATTCATTTATTAGTGATAAAGAAAAACTGTTTGATAGAACCAAAGCTGTACGTGAAGTGATTAAGTTACGTTTGTCCCGGCAAGAAAGACGTAAGGTTTTCAATCTTTATCATGGATTTGAGGATGAAAAACTGGAATTGTTAGTTGCTGAACTCCAAAACAAATATGGGAACTTGGGTCATCAAAAACCAAAAGCTAGACCCTGTTCATCTAAACCAATGCCTGCCTCTGTCAAACGAGCTCGGTCATCAAGAGTAACTTCAAAAAAACCATATGATCGAAATGCTTTTGAGAAGTCTAATACTTACCACGTCACAGATTTCGAAGATTCTTTAGAGGAATGCTCTATGCCAGACATTACTAGTGATGATGATCCCCCTTATCTGCCGTCTGACGGAACTGATTCAGTCGAACCAGTTAAAGATTCACTAGCATCAAGTGTGAGTTTTTGTTGTTATTGATATCACACTTAAGATTTTCTATTCCATAATTTAATGCGTTTAATATATCGGGAATGCTCGTTTTATACTATTCGCCTAGTAACCAAAACACGCAGGGAAAGAATGTGATCATCAGTTTTTTTTCACTTTATTGCTGCGTATTGGTATGTCAACTAGTGAAAATAACACTGTCAGAGCCCTGATAAAATGGAAAAGTAACTTAATTTCAATTGTATATAAAACTTATTTCTTTATTTACTATGCAGTTATTCATTTTTCCGCACGTCTTTGGTGCATATTATTGCAGTGTAATGTGAATTTGTAAAAATGTACGTCCCTGATGGAACTTGTTTTCATGATGAGTTGTTTAAGTCACCGATCCAGTTGGTCAGGTGATCCCAACCATAAATCATCTACGTATTTGTTCCATGAAGCTGTATTTTAATGATTAGTGATTGACATGGATAATGTTTTTGAATTATCAAAGCAAACATTTATTAATTACTGTATAAAGTGAATAATGTATGGATTTATTAACCTCATACAGCGTACTCGAAGGTCTAGCACTCATACGTCTTTGCCAACTTCTGAAGCTATTGTTGACAGCAGTGACAGTGAAGAGTTTCTTCTCTGGGAATCATCTGCTAATGCAGTCAATCCAGTTTGTTGGTATCCCACAGCTGATACTTATGCCAAATGGAGAGCACGAGTTTCCGATCTTGGTCAGCATATCACATGGCATCGGGATGAGTTATTTATATATAACTTTGGCCCTAATGATCGTCAATTATTCAACAACGCAGTTATGAGGTAATTTCTCAGATATTGTTCTATAGAATTACGCCTCTTGAAATTATAAAGATGGGATTTTTTGGGATGAACATAATCCCTTGTTTTGTTTTTGTCATTTTTTTATTCGTTGTATTGAGCTGCAATATATCATATCTTGTGAATCATTTGGCGTCTATTCTTCATTTTCATAATATTCATTCGTTAGGTTCACCATCGCATTAGGATATTTTTCTATTATCTACCAGTAATTTCTTTATTACTTGTAACGGAATATTTGAACTTGATGACCAGAACAACAACCTTTTTATTATTCTTAATAAATTACAATAAGCCCCAGCTAATCCATTTAGTGGTTATGATTTTCGCGTCACCTGTTTTTCCCACTATTGTTGTCTGCAGACAACATTTTTAGTGACAAGTTTTGAAGTTTGACATAGTATCTCACGTGAATTCCTGGATATCATTCCCATTAAGAAATCACTTGTATCATGAAGATTGAAGTGACTAACAGAAAGCTATTTGGTTAAGATTCAACTGAGCTTATCAGCTAATTATGGAGTTAGAAGAAATATCCGTGAATGATCTAAAAGTCTCCAGCATTATGTTGACAGTTTTCATGAATAACGAACTTAAAAAACTCACTTAAATTATTACTATTGTTACTTTTGTATAAAGGTAGAACATCTAAACCATAGTTTATTTCATTTTTGTATAAAGGAATTTATTAATTATTCTGTAGTGATTAGCAATACTTTTAAACTTTATATGTTTACTGATAATCAAATGAATCTCTGAAATGTTGTGTTTCATTTATTAAAAACAATTTGTACACGCTGCAAAGTGTATTTTTATGCTGAATCATTTTCATGCTGTACGATGGTAAATTGGGTCCTAAACTATTGATTAAAAAACAATGAACATATAGCTATCACTAACTGTTTGATAACGAAAACTACTGATTCTGTATTTGTGTTTTGAAATTTTTCATTATCGTGTATCTGAAACAATGTAATATGATCTAAACCATTCATTCGCATACGTAAATGAACCATGTGGAAAATTTCAAGGGAATTATTAATCTAGTTCAATACATGTATTCCTATAAGAAAGTCCTGGCTCTTACTAATGACGTTTTAGCGAATAATGAATGGACTCTGCTAGGATATCGTATATATCGATACGACATTATACTTCTCGTCCATCGGTGATTTAGTAGAGCCTAATTATAGTGGTGAACTAATAATCTAAATTGCTATATCATGGTCCATACATCAAAAGAGAATGCTATCGATTAATTGCATCATTAGTAATTTTGATATGGGAAACGTTATAAGCTATTTATGAAACATTGAATTACTGAGAGAAACGCTAATCTATGATCGTTGTCAAGATGCCAAATAGACGTCAGACGGAGTGATATTTCGACTGAATGTTTTAACGAAGAAATTGGACTCACTAAGATTCTTCAATGCTACTTTATCTACATTTTCTTTAAATTTTTTAGGTTCGGTCTTCCACCACCTGGTATTGTCCCACCTCAAGACTGGCTTCCGCCAGCCTTATATTATAAATCTCAATTTCAATTGTTTGGTTACGTATGTCTGTACATGAAACATTTATACGATGACCCGAATGGATTAGATGAATCTGAAGAAAGGTAGGCATTCTGGTGTTTTATTTTGTAAATTATTCGGATAATTTATTGTGTATGCATAAATCTCTATTCTACATTTCTTTTTCTAATGATCAAAAAGGATATAAGTAATTACGTGTCACCTTGTAAAACTTGCAGTCAATCTCTGCTGAATTTATCAGCCAGTAACTTAATCAAGCTAGTATTTAAACTCATCAGCGATATTTGTCATGGATAAATCATTTCGTACAGCTAGAAAAATTAGTATATACTTTAGAAAAAAATATTCTCGACAATCGTTTTATTACCGACCATTAATTAAAGGCTGATTGAGGCTTGATGTTTGCTCGTTCCATTTAACTGTATTAAGAACATTCTATTAAACTTCATGCAAAATGAATTTTCACTTTCACCATTGGGTTTTTCCATCAAAGACAAAATGAGTGAATTCTCTAAAAACAAGTGTTTATTTATGAATGCAACACTAATTAGTTGCATAAATTTTGATTCAGAATTCTAAAACACTAAAGATCTTATAACTCTATCAGGGTGCGATTTTTCTGGTCTTCCCTTCCCAACTTTCTAATGTCACACATCCGTAGTTCAGAATTGACGCATCGTTTTTGATTTTCTTTGTAATTCATTTTCTGTGTTTTTTTATTTTGTATTTAGTTGGTCCGATGGTTTACCTAAAGAACATTTATGTGTTCCTGCGGTGCTTTCACGTATTGCAGTGATGGCGTTGATTAGAAATAAAGTATTACAATATGAAGATGTAAATGGACCGACAAGTATTTCTACTGATGTTAGTCTTATTGTTCTATTATCTGGATGCAAGTATTTATCCTTAATTATTATACAAGTTTAATAATCAAATCTGCAGGCGAAATCGAACAGCTGTCTGTACGTCTAGGAAGAAAGAGTCTTTTTCGCCATGGTAACTGGGTATCATATTTAGCGACATTTCGGTTCAAAACTCGGCGCTATGTGCAAGCTACCAAATAAAATAACTTCGTGTTCATTAGTTCAACGTAGGATTTAATTTGATTGAGTTCTATAGAAACTGATAATAATCCAATGTTGTAAAGAGAAGCTGTGTCTTTAACTGATGATTTCGCTGAAATTGAAAATAAATATTCGATTATAATCGTTGGAAATATTAAGTCAATTACATCAAAAATTAATCCATACTGACTACTAAAAGGGAATGTCAGTTGTTAGCTCAAACTTGTAATACTCAGTCATCTGTACTGGAGAGTATTGAGAAATCAGAACATTTAGAAATAAGTAGTACTACAGTTGATGTCAGTTCTTCGGAATTCACTTTCTGCCAATCAGTTTTTTGTGAAATAACGTATATATTTTCTTGCAACTTATAAGCCAATATGTAAGAAATAATTACATTCTGCAATGATTTGTATGCTCCCTTCAATTTCTTTTAAAGATTCAAAGTCCCACTTTCAAATTTGCTATACACGAAGGTGGTTTGACGTTATTACGTTCTGTGTGGAATGAAGAATGTGCAAAGATCAGTAATATTTGTCAAACAATTCAATCTCATTCAGAAATAGCGAGAAATTCAGAGTTAATAATAAAAACCCAGAGAATATGGCATTCACGTCATGATTACTGGCTTCTTGCTGGCATACTTGTTCATGGCTATTCTCGATGGGCTGATATATTAGCTGATCCACGTTTTCGTATTCTTAATTTTGGATTGTCAGGAGTTCTAAAGGGTATGCATAAGCTTATGAATGCTGATTTAAGTAAGTGTTGAGCGTACTTTTATTTTGATAGTTATTCATTTCTTTTTCTCCTAAATATTCGTAAAATAATAATCATAGAAAAAGCATTTCTCGTTTCAGACGTCTTAGTTAAATAGACCCGTATACCCAATTAATATCAATGTCAATGTCTCTACTGAAAGTCTGATTTATCACTAGTTCTATCAAAATATTTGTAATTGCAAATGGATTATTGACTTTTGATGGTAATCTCTTATGTAGCAAGTGTTATTCTCTTGAAAATCCTCCAATCTTTTTACTTTATGCTGATCATAAATAACTTTGTTCTTCACCCGTTGTTACTGTCGCTTATATCTCATTCTTCTTCATTTTGTAACTCATCATTTTCTTTTCAAATAATAACTCTTGATTATCACGTGTAACTGGATATCTAAGATGTGCATCTCAACACCTGTTTTTTCAGTTCACCAATTAACTTCTCAACTCTTTCTTAAAAACTAATATGTTCACGCTCCCATCTTAACACATGATCTTTACACTTCCTATTCTACATACGTGATAATACGTTATTTGGACGTGGTTGTTCTGCTTTACCATTTTTATTACTTTCGTCAAGTGTTTAACCACTAATCTACATTATAACAAGGTATTACTTCTGTACATTGTTTACAAATATAGTTGTGCATTTTTTCGTAAGTTGAAAAGGCTTTTTTAATTATCACTCTTGAACTACTTATTAATGATGTAAAAGGTCTTTGATTGTGTAAGATTTATTAAATATGCGCAAATATTTATTAAATAGAATTCCTGTTTTAAATGTACAATTTATTTATATAAATTTACTTTTGAAGGTTCACATGGCACATCATCCACTTCTCGTCAAACTCCTTCTGAATCAACTGAAGCTCAAGCATTCCTATTAGATCGCTTGAAATTACTTGAACAAGCTTTAATTGTCGAACAAACGTTGTACGAAGTCGCTGAAGCTGCTCTTAGTAGTACCACACACCAAAATCAACTGGACCCAGTTCGTACTAGAAATTTGGCTATTTGCCTATCTAATAAATTAATCCAAACAGGAGCTCGTAAACGAATTGCTTTACCTAAGGATCCAAGGGCAAGAGAAGCTACACGTACAGGTCTGTCTATAACTGCTCAATGTTATAAGCAAAGAAAAGTGGTCTTTTGCTTATTTATTATTCATTAACATGTCACACATAAATAAGCATATATGGTACTCTTATTACATTATTCATATTTTATTTAATATATTGCTAGGGAATGTTGAAACGTTGTTTATGTCTCCTATGACGCTCCGAGTCCTTCGTTAGCAAAACTTGTTGCTTTGATTCATAAATCTATTCCTGGAAACCGATGTCGAATTAGAATGCTTTCGTAATTTCTCAATTCGCTAAAATGATTAAGTTTAAAATCGAGTAAATCAATCTGAAATATTTGTTAGTTACAACTTTCACTACTATTCTGTTCATAGTAAACTTATCCTTCTCTCTGATGTATATTATTGATAAGCTTCAAAATGTCTGTAGGTTATGTGATTATTAGTGTTTCTGAACTGTTACTCGTATAGAATAATATCATTAAATGAGCGTTACTGAGGCTGTTCAAATTTCTAGGTGGAATAAGTAGATTAGGTTCATCCTTACTTGTTTACTCCTGTTACACCTCATGGAGGAGCATAGGCCGCTCACAAGCATTCTCCATTCAACTCTGTACTGGCCAATCTTTTCCATTTGTTTCCAGTTGCTATTCATCCTTTTCATGTCTGCTTCCAACTCCCGAAGCAATATGTTCTTAGTCCTTTTTCGTTTCCCTTCAGGATTCCAAGTTAGCGCTTCCTTCGTGATGCAGTTTGATGATTTTCTCAATATGTGTCCTATCCATTTCCAACGTCTTTTCCTAATTTGCCCCTCAGCTGGAAGTTCATCTGTTCTCTACCACAGTAGGCTGTTGCTGATGGCATCCGGCCAACAGATATTGAGTATCTTGCGTAGATGATTATTTATAAATACTTGTACGTTTTTTGGTGATGGTTGTAGTAGTTCTCTAAGTTTCAGCTCCGTACAGTGGAACTGTCTCGAGATTCGTATTGAAGATTCTGACTTTGATGTTGGTTAATAGTTCTTTTGAGTTTCATATGTTCTTTAACTGTAGGAATGGTGTCCTTGCTTTACTAACGACCGCCTTTACGTCTGCATCAGATCCTCCTTGTTTATTGATGACGCCTCCTAAGTACGAGAAACTTTACACCTATTCCAGAGCTTCTTCATCGAGTGTGATTAGGTTGGTGTTCTCTGTGTTGTATTAAGGATCTTACTTTTTCCTTTGTGTATGTTGAGACCTACTGATGCAGATGCTTCTGCTACAATGGTTGTTTTGACCTGCACCCGTTTGTGTGTATGGGATAAAAGAACCAGATCATCTGCAAAGCCCGAATGGTCTAGTAGCATCCAAACTGTTCGTTGTATTCCGTGCTTTCCCTCGGATGTCGAGGTCCTCATAATCCATTCAACGACCAGAAGATAGAGGGAGGGGTAGAGTAAGCAGCCTTATCTGAATTCGTTCCTTATTTGGAATCCATCTGCGAGCTGTCCTCCATGCACCACTTCGCAGTGTAGTTCGTTGTGTGAGTTCCGGATGATTTTGACGATTTTCTCAGATAATCCATTGTGTCGAAGAATGTTCCAAAGGGTCATCCTATCCACACTGTCAAAGCTTTTTTGTAATCAGTGAAGTTGATGTATAGCGACGAGTCTCATTCAATTGATTGTTCAACGATGATCCATAGTGTGGTAATTTGGTCTGTGCACGACCGGTCCTTACGGAATCCAACCTGTTGATCTCGAAGCTGGACGTCTAGTGAATCTTTCTTTCGATTCAGCAGCACTTGAATTTTTTTCTGGTACTGGTAGTAGTGTGATGGTGCTGTGGTTCTCACACTCGCTGAGATTCCCTTTCTTTGGTATCTTGATGAGGTATCCTTCTTTCCAGTATGTTAGTGGCACTTGTTTTTCCTCCTAAATCTTCCAGAATATAACGTGGAGCATCTTTGCAGTTACTTCTATATTTGACTTTAGTGCTTCGGCCAGTATATTGTCAGGTCCTGCTGCTTTCCCATTCTTGATTTATCTGATGACCATCTTGATGTTTTTGATCGTTGGTGGAGGTCTTTAGGTGCTTTTTCGATGCTGGGTGGATTCAATAGAGCTGGTCCATCTGTTCCTCTGTCTTTGACCGGTCTCTCTGGTTTACTATATTTCCATGTCAGGTTCTTCGTCTTATCATATAATTGTTTTATATTCCCTTTTCTTTCAGCTTTTCCCACTGTCGTTGCTAGCTCTTTCATGTATTTCTGCTCGTCTGCTCTAATGCTCTCCTTCACTTGCTTGTTCGCTTCTGTATATTCAACTTTCGCCTTGACTTTCTCTGTTGTTGTTGGGCTTTTGTTAATTGCTGTCTAGGGTTTCGATAGAGATCCATTCCTTATGATGATGCTTATTGCGGTCTAGTACCTCATGACACGTTGAAGTTAGTGCTTCTTTGGTTGCTTTCCTGTTGTCCTACATAGTAGTTTCTTCTTCTTTGAGTATATCTTGTAAGACTTGGTGCCTGTTATTGAGAGCTATCCTGAATTCGTTGAGTTTGTCAGTATCTCTAAGGAAGGCTGTGTTGAACCTTTGTAATGCTGTTTGTCCAGTTGTCCAATGCTTCTTTCGCTTCAACTTTATCTTGTCAACTACCAGGTGGTGATTTGAAGCTATGTCAGCTCCTCTCCTTGTTCTCACATCTCTCATTGGCCTTCTGATGGTCGATCTAGATTTCTTTTTTGATCCGGTGAGATCCATGTAGCTTTGTGTATGTGTTTGTGAAAGAATATAGTGCTTCCTATAACCACTTTGTTAAATGTACATAAATTTGCACATTTCTACCCATTCTAATTCCTTTCTCTCAGTCAGTCTATGTCGTCCCATGTTATCTTGGTACCTAGTGTTGTCCATTCCATCTCTCTGGAACGTAGCCTTTTTGTGCAGCTTGGATCCACTAGGTTTCGCTTAATCCGAGCACCAGCAAGTTGTATCTCGTTCTTGCAACTTTTTGATTGGTCCTCCCAGTCTCTCACATTGTCTGGACATTCCATGTACCTATAATAATTGCTGCTCTGGTCGTTAAAAGAGGCATTGGCCTCGTGACTTCTGGAGAATCTCGGCTTTCACCATGAGGCATCATAATTTTTCTGAATGAAAATCCTTCAGCTCGGAGGGCAAAGTTTAAATGGTTTATTTTGACTAGCGTTTTTTTGGCAAGATTGTTTCCTACTTAATTGAGTTCCTGATGCCATGCCTAACCCTTCTACCTTACCCGGGCTTGGGACCGAAAGTAACTCTATAGCATCTACATGCATAGTTACATTCATCCTTACATAAAGACAAAACTTTGAATTCTGTTTTCTTTAACGTTTTGTTAACTTTTCCAAGGAACTATGGTAGCAGAGTTCATGTTTATGTAATAAGCTGAAATATCATTCGCTTTGAGTCACAGTGAAGAGAACGATGATTCCATAGTGAACATTTCGATACAATTCCACTCCCCCAACATTTCTTTTTGCTAGCATGACCTTAGATTTCGAACCTTTTTGTATGCATTTATTCTGTAGCATTTTCATATGACTCTACGGTTTTTTTCTGTTCAACTTCCTTTTATCATGTAGAATCGCTTTATTTCGTTAGAGCATATCCAGTAAATTATTGTATAAGTTTACGTAGATGACCTTATCATGATTTTCTCTGATAACAACTACTCATCCGTTATCCTTTCTTATTGTACCATGTCTATCCGTTAACATTTCAAAATGTCGAATTAATTGTAGTCGATTAACTACAACTACTGTTGTTGTCTTTTAATTACAGTAGTACAAAATCTACAAGAATTGTTAGAAGATATGTACGCAGATTTTCCTGGTATGCCCGCTTCAGTAACATTCACTGGAGACGATGATGCCAATGCAAAAGAAAAATTGAAAATAATATCAAGTGGAAATACAAATAATATTGGTATTACTAACAGTGGTCGTCCATGTCATTTACCAAAAAGTTTCGGGGAAAAAACAGAAGTAAATTTATGCGACGATGATGATATTGATAGCACTGGTGATAGTCGGCGTGAAAACGATAATAGTCAAGCTCCTGCTGATAAAATAATTTGTCCTGATATGGAAAAACTTCATCCAGATAGTTTGATACCTCGACCAGGATCACTAAAACTCAGTAGCTCACCACAATGTGAACAGGGGATTTTTATCGAATTGTCTGATGACGAAGAAGTTTCGAGTTCTATTCCTGATACCGACGGTGCTGCTGATCAACAAGCAAACTGCGATTACGACAAGACTTACATACAGTCTAACATTGGTGCTAATAACGATAATGATACTAGTGAACACTGTGCATTACCTAATCTACCGAACTCAAGGGATGATGATCTGATTCATCCAATTGAATAATTCACTATATATTCCATTTTCATTGAAATTATTCTGTACAAAATCCCCTTTCCATAGCCTGTATTGTTTTACAAGAAATGATCACATGCTTATTACAATGTTGTTCTGTCAAAATTGGATTGCTTGTCTGCTTTACTCTTCTCTAAACCGTGTACCTAAGGTACTTTTAAATCTAGTTTACGATGAAAGGGAATTTAAGGTCGCAGCATGAGCCTAATTAGTTATGTTGGCTGTTTAGACAGAATTTAATTAAATGATTATTTTAGAGTACTTGATGTATATTACTAGTGAGTAATTTACAAATTCATGACAGTGTTAATGTAAACGCATCCTTGAATCACTGTATTATTTCATGGAATTTCAAAGGATCGAATTAGTCTTTCGTCGTAATATAAACCGTAAATAAACTCCACAATAAATAATACTAAGTATTATTTGTTTAGAGTAATATCAGCACTATATTTTATAGCGCTGACTGGGCAGTGGTTCTTATCGAACGGTACTTTATACGTCTTGAGTTTGCATGGCGCAGATGGAATACTAAGATAGCAACGTTCAAAATCCTGTCAACAAATAAAGGTTGATGAAAGATCCCGCATAAAAAGTTGACTTGCTGGTTTTATTGTCCTCATTCGGTTTTTCATTGTTACACTATCGAATATTTACTAATGTTTATTCATAGGTTTTGAATGCCACCTTAATTAAAACCTGTCAACATTCATCCAACCCTTAAACTCATCGAATGACTATATCTCTCAATGACTTGGTAAATTGGCTCCATATCACTCCATTTGAATTGTCTGTCCACATAGTTGGAATTATTTTCAGCTTAAGTATAGCTGTTCTTTGGGATGAAAAGATCTTGGATATACTGTGTACAAATCAAAAGGAGATAGTCCTATGGTGGGTTTTTTTGCCGTTATGGTGTGCCGATGCTCTTGTCTCTTATTTTAATCTTGTGATATTTTTCAGACGTATACATTATCACAAAGTAAGTTCAGACGAAATATACTGTTTTACATGTGCTCATGTCTCTTCTTGTGAACATAAAGTAATTTGGGTTTTTCTTTCCCTTAGGTTGTGCGTCAAAATCTCTGTCATCATGGATTTCGTCCTGATTATCTACCTTCTCCGCCGTGGTCATCTGTCATCTTAGATACCACTTATAAATTAGTTTTTGATTTTTGTATTTTTGCTTTCAAATTATTACTTTTCCGAAAATTAGTTTATATAAGCCAAAGTAATTTTACTTACGGCACGGTTTTTTCTCCAGTTATCTGTGTTATGACATTAGTACTTCTGTCAATATGTATAAAAAATTGCAGGAACATTAGTAATTAAGATGTAGTGCATTTCATTCTAGGACATCCTTTTAATTCTCTTTTGCTTCAAGAAATCATCTTTTGTTGTATACTTTAGCATTTCTATTATCACACTTCAAGATTATTTACAATAATTTTTTTGGAGAAATGAATAAAAAGAAGTCAGTTGGTAAAGATGCATTTCGATTCTTTCCTTGTTTAACAGAGGTTCTGGACACCCCAACAATGCATAGGTAAACTTTTATTCACCTTTGTTGCTAAACATGTTAAAAACGGCGTCTACTAATAATTTGATGAACACTCAGTGACCCAGCCGTTCTACATGACACAAGATATGGATTAGGGCCAAAGTATATCATCAGAGGCATGTACATGCTTAAATGACTAGTAACAATTTATTTGAATGGACAACAGAATACCGTCTACGATTGTTTTAACGCGTCTTATTACCGGAACTACTGTATATAAGTTATATCATCTCAATCGAACCAAATCGAATTATTATAATATAATAATAATAATAATGAGTGAAACGGAAAGGTACAACAAGATAGAATTCCTTCAGTTAAGGAAGTTACAACCACTTTTTATGAAGAAAGTAAAAGAAGGTTACGGCAGGATCGCCATTAGCTTCTATTCTGAGCCATATCTTATAACGTCTCTAGCCACTGTGTTGCACCATCTCTCGGAACCCAGCCAGAAAGTTGTGAAGGATCATCAGAAGCCAGCCCTTTTCAGCTTTCTTTCATACCACGACACTATGTCATACACTGACCACCTCTCCGCTTCCAACCAGTCCCAGAGTCGGCAAGTGATGCACGACGTGGAATTCTCTGGGACGACATTCGTAGGATTTGTCCAAGCCACCGAAGTCGGTGTTTCAAGATGGTGACACCAATTGCATTATCGTCTCTGTGCCCGAACACACGATGCCGGACCTCTGCATTACTAACATGATATTGCCATTGGATGTCAGTAATCCTTCAGAGACAACGATGTTCGAACACAGAGTCGTCTAACATCCTCAACTCGGAGAGGCCAGGTTTCACAAGCATAGAGCAGAATTGCTCTCACTGACGCTATTGTATATCCGATCTTTTACAGCCAGACTGACATCACGAAGGCGTCAAAGGTGGCCCAGATTGGTATAAGCTTCTCTGGCTTTCATTATACATGAACTGATCTCATCACTCACGCCCATCGTCCAAGACGTCGATGGATGTTAGTGATTGGCATCCCGTCATCCTCACAGGTTATTTTGCTCACACAAAACTTCTTGCCGCCAGTGGCTCGGATGAGTCGGAAGAGCTGTCGGTAGTTACCAGATGCAGCTGCTGCTTCCAGCTCATTAGCACGCTCCGACCACCAGGCTTTCCGGTCATTACACAGGCGTTGCTCAATTTCATTATGTAACAGTTGTCGTTTGTGGTCAAACGGTCACTCGCAGTAGACCGACGATCAGTTGTAAGGAACCAGAAAAATCCAGTGCTTATGAGCGGGTTTTCAGTAAATACTGTCATCTTCATTTTATTTGTGTGTGGGCTGCGATACTGCCCGGGGCCCAGATCGAGGCAGGTGGTTTTGTTAGGGGGCCACACAATGAGCCTTCTATCGAAATGTCCGGCCCACAATGCAGTGAAGCATCGTGAGGAGATGCAGTCGCATGGTAGCCGGTTACCAATATTGGTTGATACGCCATTCGTTCCCTCAGAGTGCCGGAGCCCATGTGCGACATTGCTTTGGGACCCTGTTAAAGCGCCGGACATTCGCTTTTCGTTTTCCTACTTTCGTGAGCAACGTCCTGCCACGAGAAGGCAGAGTAGAAGCTCCTGACAGAGGCCGTATACACGTGGTCGTGTAAGAGCATTTAGAGAGGGACGGAGGGCACTACCCGCCATACCAGGACGTCATATGATTACTTTGGCTTTCTCGATCAAACGTGTGGGGATCTAACCATAGAAGCGTGGTTCTCTGCCAACGAGGCTTAGTAGTGTTCTATTAATTTTATTTTTCCAGCCGTCACAAAGAAGAATATTTTGTGAATTTGTCACGTTGAGTAAAATATATTCTCAAATGATATTTACTGGCTATCTGTCAAGCATAAAGTGAATCATAGATGAACTTGCTGTCCGTGTACAAAATGTGACCCATATTTTTAGTTGGTCGTCCACGAACTGCCTCGTTAGCTAACTACCTGTAAACTATCCGTCAGCAGATCGAGTTATTTGGAGTGATTCGATAAATATATGTGAAATTTAGATACTGTTGGCATAGCTTTCTATTTTTAACAGGAGCTAGTCTTTTAAACAATTAGACATCCATATTCGCTAGATGCGTCCGCAATGGTCACGTAAGTAATATGACTAAATATGAACCTAGCACCGGTTTGTAATTTCAGCAGTCTTCTTAGCGACCAATCACAAAGAGGCGCATGTTACCATTTGTAGGTTTATTGTATATATATATATATATATATATATATATATATATATATATATATATATATATATACCTAGACATTTTCAAATAGTAGATAAAAGAAACCTATTCACTTAGCTAAATATTTCTGAAGTTTCTGGGTCAATCAAGAATAAGTGTTAGAGTAAAACTGAAAAGTACCATTAAATTTGTATTGCTTTCCTAGTTGAAAGATTTTCAAAACTAGTCATCATGCCTACTTATGATAATTAGAAGCATCCAAACTGCTTTTCTAAGAATCCCCTGATCAGTGCAATTTAATGATAATTTAACTTAGGCGGTCATAACTGGATGTATCGCAATTTGTGTTTGTGTAGAGCGCGCAATCAAGTACATGAAAAACATCAGTTAGTATGAATAACACGATACTGCATTATACAAAACCACACATCGAATTTGTAAACTATGAAAACTGCACTAAGTGCACAACCTCGAGTTGTCTCCCACTGACTGCATCGTTCTTGTGTTCCTGCGGCTACACCAGCTGTTTCTATTTTGTCTTGTCCCATTTTCCCCTTCTGTCAATAAGAATCCTACTTCCTGTTCTCTATACATACTATTTATATTTGTCCGTGTAAGCAGAACATACGACATCACGGGCAGTAATTTAGATTGCCTAAAAGAGAAAAGAAGACGAGTAAATGTGAACCAATAACTCAGTAATCACATAAAATGCACTTGATCCTAACGGAAGCGACTGATGATAACCAGAAATAACACGAATGTGAAATTAAGACAACTCGATGTTCAACACAAGAAGTTAATAGTATAAGGTTTTGACCGTGTCACAGTCAGTAGTTTCAGTGCTTCCATCAGAAAAATTAATCAGGAAAGCATTTATCTTGACTATAAATTTGAAGGAAAACCGATTTGGTTCACAATTTTCATCGTATTTATATGGAAATAATAAGTACACTTATGGATAGTTAGTTAAAAACTTTATTCAGATAAAATTCATATTATTAAATAAAGACCGGCTTGTCAGTAAACTTCACGTTGGTGAGAATAGCCACAAAACAAAGTTTTTTAGAGTTTCGATTCGACAATAGTATAAAAATTAAGATGCTTTTGTCTCTTGGTAACACGATGCCTTAAAATTTAGATACTTACCATTCAATACTAGTGAAAAACTCCTCGCACAGTTTGCGATTTCGATACCCATGAATACTTTCCCAATATGAGAGATGAATTGAACAAGCATTGTTATAGAAAGAAAATTAATGTAACGGTTTTCTCAGCAAACATTTACTATCCGATTTCAGCTCTTTGCAAAACCTTTGTTTTGCTTTAATTTGGAACAAATTTGTGATGAACATTTTACAAAATCTTGTCCATAAACGTTGGTTGGTCTCTCGTTTCAAAAATCAAGAGACGAAATAGCTTCTTCTCATTGATATCTTTGTGACTATGGCAATTTTTGATAGCACTATCCCTCTTTGTTAAATAGATGTCCTTTAAACCTACATTAATCTTCTCACTTGAATCCAGTTCGTTAATATGAAGTACACATACCAGATAGACGTTCGCCTGCGTTACTATGTCGTTTGGAAAATGTTTGTATCTGTGCCTATACGATACTCATGTATTCGTTTAAATATGTATGAGACATTCTCGTCACACATTCACTCTTCATATATCACTGCGCCCTATCAGAAACAGAAACTTTTCTTGCCACATGTTAATGTTAACCATATACCCCTTCAGTATCATTTTCGAAAGCAGACGTATTTTTAAAAATCGATACGTCGTTTCGAACAGAGAGGCCTTGTTATGTCTAGTTCTATGTTAAACCCACATGAGTTATTCTAGCTCCCGGATGGACTAATTTATTCATGCTTCTTGAGCAACATTTTAATCGTGTTCATCAATCGCTTATAAACCTTGATTGTTTCAATATGAGCGTACGTATGGATTACTCACCACATTCACCGCATTTTTCGGGTTATTTTTGTCTGACTATAAATATTGGGTCGCAAGTTATTTAACTGAGTTCGCACACTTGTTTTCTACGGTCTATTTATCAAAGTTGCTACTACTATTGACTGTCTGGATAAATGAGTGTATGAAATATACGTATCCCGTATTCATTGACTTAATTCTTTTAACTAATGTGTAATAAGTCGACGACTTGACAACCGTTGGTGATGTGCATATTTCTTTGCCATGGTCAATCGGCCGAACTGGAGTTATATCCACCGCTTTTCTGCAAGAAAAGGAAAATCAATATGAAATTTGAGAATAAAGGGGCCCTATTGCACTCAGTATTTATACCACTTGTTAACTTGATGTTCTTTTCTGTGGCATCACAGTGTCTGAATCTGATAATCAATCAACATAATGTGTTTTTATTATATCAAATACGTTGATCCCTATTAACTGATTAAGATCCAGAACATATACTACATCATAGGTCAGGGAGTGTGTTAAGCTCACGAATGTTGTTCTGCGTAAGACTACACATTCTGAAATTGCCTACCAAATATCCTCCGCATGGACTTCTGTTTAGAGGCTTCTATACATAGTCTTACTTCGGGAGTAAACGGTTTTTGAGCAATTTTTAACTTGGGTGAATTCACAATGAGATGATTGTAGAATAATGAGCGTTCAGTTAATAACAGCGTTCAACTCAACTTCCTTTATCAACCAATCAGTGATCTTCGGGCCAGAGGTCGTCTTTATCTCATCATTGCAAACATCGTATGAATAACCACCATAAAAGAGGTGAAATTGAGAGAAACCTTCCCTCTTCATTTTCGCTTCGTTAAGCTTATGGAAAATCAATAACCGTTTCAAAATACAAAGAATAACACAGGAGCACAGTGAGATGTAAGTTCATTCCTTTCCCCCAACTTTAGATTTAAGACGAAATGGACCAAAACAACAAAGTAATTTTAGAAATAATTTTTGTGCGAAATTTCGCACACTATAAGTAACTTAGAGTGAATGGTGCGCGCGTGCAGACCGTCAGAAGTTTGCATGTTCTTTTCTGCTTGTTAAAAATGCTGAGTTAGAAATATAGTTCATTCAAGGGTGGCTGCTCTATAGTCCCTGACTGTGTTGGTTCTTACGTGAAAACAATGGTATATAATGATTAACCCATGGAATTGCTGTTATACATATCACACCATAAACAGCTGATGTTTCTTATTAAAACTTGTCGGATAGTAGTCTTATAACTCTAGAGTACCAAGAAAATCTTCTTTCTACGGTGAAGGACGATCCTGAGAAAACATTTGCTAAGATTTAATGTCCAAAACTCAAATCGACAGAAGTTAGCCCACTAATAAATATTTCATGGCATACCGGAGTAGATAAACATGTGAAAACTGATTAGGGGAATATGATTTTCAGTGCGCGTCCAAAAATGCACTGACTTGATTCAGAAATAGCTTTTTGTGTAGCAACTCTGTATTCGGGTGACATGCGTGAACATTCCAAAAATCCCACAACTCTTATTGCGACTGTGTCTAAATATATTTCTATACTCTCATCAGTTTGGTCCCGTCATACATTGTCATATGAGTAAAACGGGCCATTAGGTAGTGAATATCCAGTTGGGGTTCTTGTCTGAGATATTATACGCATTAAGATGGTCACGATGATCTTGGGGACTACTTATTCTAAACCCTCATGCACTGTTAAGGCAATGTATTACTATCAACTTAGACACATGACTGACCTTTATAGGTCATGATTTGAATCCATCCCGATGGCATGATACTTATATCAACAAAATTACGTTTTTTAAACGTCCTGTTTATTCATCAACGTAATTCGTATTAGTGAACAACAGGGTATAATAAGTCAACGGTTTTAGGGTATATTTCATGCATCCGGCAACGCGACAGCCAACAATAGAAAGAGGTCTGAGAGATGGTGTGAGAAGCGCTAACTCACTCTAAGTAAATGTGAATCAGATGTTACGGGTGTGAAAGAGACAAACAAGCATATAGAACCATATATACAATCCTGCAAACGTCTCAGGTACACATATGTGAGTGAGAAAATGTGCGGCATAATTATAAAGGTCCGATCGTTCAAAGGTTTAGACAGACCATGCAGACGTAAAGAGAAACAACCACTGCGTTCCACTACATGATATCCTTATACATCAAAAAAGTCCTCAAAACGACAATGTCTACTTAAGACATTCGAAGGTTTAGCATAGGACGAAGTTGGGATCCTCCAACGAAGATAAAACGCGCTGGACGAGGCCAATGTAAGAAGTCAGCTAGAGAGTGGAGTACTTGGGTCAATACGAATGTGGATCGCTGGTCCGAATTATTCGTGTCGATGATGACGTACGCAATCGAGTCGGACAGGAATGGTGTGACGTTTCAGCTTTGATTGAAGTAACACCCCACGGATAATTATGAAAGTGCACTTACCTTCCATTGTATTCAGGTATTGTGGCTACTTTGATGAGCGTAAATATCAAACATAACGTAATTACGGTAATGTGCTAGTAGTGTTGGTTGAAAGAAGCAGAGTATAACTGCTGCAACATGCGCTTACACATTAAGTGCGATCGATTGATGTCCTTTGGTTGCTCATGATCTTAACAAGGATCGATAATCTGCAACATTCAGCGACCTGACTACTAAATGAATTGGTTAGGGTCTGCTGGTATTTCACTGGCCCTACAATAGTGCTGTCTTTGTGTTAGCTGGTCTAAAATCATTTCTTAATATCCACTACATGGAATTCGGATGTTTTTATGTCTTGTTAGATAGCGTGAAGAGATCTAGCTACTCGAGGCTTATTCCATACGATGATCAACGTAGTTTAAGGATTGCATGTGAAGCTATCCTCTGTTTTTAAGGAGTTTGAATCGTCCTTTCAAAACCAATCCGCCGCCTGCATACAATTATCTAATGTGGAATGCATCGGAGCTGTCCAAACTATGTTGAAAGCAATTGTATTCAACGTGGTGAAAGCCCCTTTGTTGTTTATACTGTGCTGAACTGTGATCAAACGATCTTAAGGTGCTCCTTGAATGGCATATAGAATTATTTATCGCTTGATCATTGAGGTAGATCTATGCAATCGACGTTACCCTGTGTTGTAGTTGTTGACATTCGTGTGTGAAGTGTGAACCCAGGGGCGTTACCAGGCATGGAGAACAATTTGCAACAGATTGGTAAAACGTCTAAGTTGGGATGCAGAAAATAAACACAAGTGTAGACAAAACACTATGTGATACAATGCTGCGTTCTCTTGATAATACAGTTTTTTGCCCAGAGAACAACGAGGTTGTTACTCAAATCTAATCACGTATTGAGGAGCTTCAAGACCTTACAATTCATCGAGAGAAGAAATTGTCCTTGTCATGAAGCCTAGTTGGCTAGCCAACCATAATAATATAGAGGACAGTAAATTAATTCTCAAAAGTGAACGCGTAAACACGGAGTGGAACGGTGCTAACAATCATTATTTTTTCACGTTTTAGGCAGTACACACAGTGTCATTTATTCGACATCTACACGGGGCTCATATTTTAGACCATTCCTATTGAACATTGGGAGTCGCTCGGTTTTTGTTTCGAGCGCATCGTAATGGTGTTACGGACGTGTCCTGTGTATTTCATGTTATGTAGGAGGATAACGGCTGCAGCAGTCGCTCCAAAGGACTCATGTGCAGTGCTTTCACCCTTGGAGCAAAAATTTTACCCACATATAGGTAACCGTGAAATAGTGGGTTTTGGTAGGAATGGGATTCCTATGTATTATGATGATTTGGCGTACCCGTATCCTTCAATCAGATTTCGCAACCATACCCCTGAAGTAAAACATCTTAGTGGGTTAACTTCCAAATAGATTGCTAAATTAAGAGAGAAAGAACAAGGGGACTGGAGTCAGTTGACAACCGAGGAAGTGAAGACATTATATCGTCATAGCTTTCAACGTACCTTTGCTGAATTAACCGCTCCACACGGCCAGTGGAAACTTGGACTAGCATATGGTTTTATTTTCATTAGTATCGGCCTCCTATTCTACATATACATCCGTACGTTTGGTAAGTTGTAATCATAGAACTCATGAATGTAGTTGTAATACCTCCGAAAAACGTACTCGAATTGCCTGAATATAAGGATGCAGTTTTATACAAAAAGGTGTTCAGTCGGTCAGGATCAATTAGTGATGTCTACAAGTTTGATGTTTCTAAGATGCGTTGGAGAGAAGAATAACTTTTTATCAACTTAATGTAGTGCTAGATGTAACATTTGAAATAAACTTTGTTAGTACTATTTGGTCTTTAGTTGTATGCTCACTTATACATAATGATGATTTGTATTTCTGCAGAAGTTCTTCGGTTTTGGGCTTCGATGCATTCGGTGCATGGCAACTGCCAGAGAGACCAAGATTGAGACTATTTTGAAAGAAAACTTCCCGAGCGCTAGGCTTGTGTCTGTTTCTGATGTGAGTGGTAAGAACCATGGGTTTTTTTCTGAATTTCCATGGCAGGTGGTTGTGGAGCTATGTTCGAAATAGTTATTGAAGCAGGAGAGTTTGCATCCTTGTCCGTTTTGCAACAGCATCGAGCTGTTAAAAAGGTGTGTAACTGTGCGAAAATGTTTATTGCTTTTAGGCCTTGAGAGATGAAATAAAGAACATGCATGGACTTACAATCAAAACTAAGGCGTGAAATAACTTGTCAGCCGCTTTATCATCTGTAGTTGACATTTTCTTGTTCAGAAATTTAGAAGTACTGACTTCGTCCCTATATATACGTATGTTTGGTTCTCATGTAAAAATGTTTAATTAAAAGTTTGCATTTGGCTAAGAATGGTCTTCTCTTTAAAGCTGGGAATTTTCGTGTGTAATGGCTATTATGAACGCCTTTGATTCTTGAGAAATTAGACGAGGATGTTATTTCTAACAATGTCTATGGTAAGTGAGAAAGACAGATGACACTAACAAACACCACCTGAAGTTATCATTTCGATGGTAGTGCACACTTTACTGAACGGAACAACGTATTAAAGTCTAGAAATGCAGCTATGACTGAGTTGATGTATATGTCTACATTCCAAAACCTGGCAAAGGCAGATTTATGTGAACACACTAACCCTGGTTTTCCCTAGTTTGTTCTTCATGATTTCCGGTTAGTCGTCGAGTGGTTCTTGAAACTAATATTCTAGACACTTATTCGACCTCGTCCCAAAGGACACTCGTTGCTCATAAGCTGGAACTATCAGCGATCGAGACCAGTCAAATTGGATTACTTCGGTTACCATATTTTCGCTAAAACTTCTGTCAATTTAAATTCCTACACTTGAGCTCCATTCTTAAAGATCTTAAGGGCTGGTCCATTCGAGCCTACTTTCCTTAGATTTAGATTATTCATAGCCTTTCCAACTCCATTCAAATCCCTGCATTTTGACTTTACGGCCTCCATTTTTTTACTTCCTATGAATAGCATACTGAAATAAAAAGTCTGAAACGCCAGAAATAATATCAGTAGGCACGTTTACAGCTAATTAGTTCCAGGGATTCCTCACGGGATGTATAAAGTTCTGGTGCAAGTTATCATGTGAGCATGTCGATTTTGCCAGTGTAGTTGTCAATCGAATCCCACAGAAAGTGTGAGTGAATATGATGTGTATTCTGAAGAGTTGTTGTGCAACGAGTCTTCAGAGTGTGACTATAATGCCGTGTCATTATTGGCATATATGGTTCTGCGCTTCTCTTCTCAAGTATATTTCCTACGAGTTATTTTCATTTCTATGTAGAGTTAGACTGCCGTAATCTATATTTGAGTTGATAAATTGTAACGGAAGTTATTACCTAACTTTGTATTAGTCTTATAGGAGTCCTTATTTCAGCATTGTTCATCTGCCTAGTGTTTTCGGTTTTACTTCTATTCCAGTATCGAGTCATTCCATATTTTCAACCACTAAAATCTTAACCCCTTGAAGTTCGTAGTCGTGATTTCTTTAGTCTGAATTAAAAACGAATGCAGTATAGAAAAGAAAAACACGGGCTCTTGATAGTTTGCTCATCAGACTTTCCCCTTTAAATATGAGTCGACTACTGTTGCCACCAAAGGATAGGCTAGCGCTGACTTGCATTAGCGGTATCCCAACTACCGTACGTTGTGTTCTCATATTCTTCCTACCCCCTATACTATTGGTTTACTAAAACAACGGAGCCCGCTTATTACTCTACTTCTATCCATATGCCTGACAAACTTTCATGTGCTAGGTATTCATCTGTTCAGTAATTTGCTGTCATTACGTATAATTCAAAACGTGAGTTTCTTTTTTTAAGGCCTTGTGTCGTTGCTGATGTCCATCTTCACGTCTGTTTGTAGTTTGCAAATGGAAAGTTTCGTAATCGCTTTCCTCTTTGTTGAGTTATATTTTTAACTGTCAGTAACTTTAAAACCTTTAGTCTTAACCAAACAAAGTAATGCTGCGAGAATAAATGATAACATATATAGACTGTCAGTTCGTAATTACAGAATTTTCATTTTGCTGGTGTGAGACTTGGGGTCAATGTCTGGAATCACTAGACTTACAAAGTTATCCAAATCTGTCTAGGTTACTGAAGCAGTAGCTAAGTGACGGCTTTTGGTTTTCAACCCTCGTACTTTGTACCATTGACTTTGGCGCATAAACTAACGATGGTGTACGATTGTTAAGTGGGATGTCTTTTACTTCTCGTAATTTACCATTGAAAGTTTACCAACTGCATCTGTCTGCAACCATTCTTCGTAAAAAATTAGCTTACTCCGTTAGACACTTATCTTGTATTGCAAATTTCCTGAACTTACGATACTATTATGCCTTACTGTCAAACTCCTACATCACTGACTAAAAAAACTCACGTTTTTCAGTGAGTTTGTATTCACATACTTCCTGCGGTTATTCACTCTGATGTCTTACCATTAAATTGTGACCTGTATTCTGAATAAATTTCCATTTAAGTTCCAAAAGTTTGTGCTATAGTTGGTAACCAATTAATTGCAGCAAGAGTGACAAAGCTAGTTGTTATGTCCAGTGACATCAACAGTGTACTTACACTATAATATACTGGGAAATTTACTTGTGTTCATTTGCATTACAGTGTACTTAATTCATTACTAAAAATCGGCACATTTATTCTGAAAACGGCATAAACGTAGTACGTTTAGTTGTTTGTTATGAGGAAAAATAAGGCGACAAGTGAGGTGAAAGACTCATTTATTCAAAGCCTTGTTAGTTACTTAATTTTGCTCTCTGTGACTCTGGTTTTGGGAGAAAATAGGGGCGGTATTGCTCAGTCAGTGGCTTGAGATGCTGTCCAATATGGTTCAAAGAAGGCAATAGAGATCCTGTGGTAGTTTTCTTTTACACTTTTCATAAGACTGAGGTGAGGTCCCCTAAATGAAACATAGTTCCTCAATCTTGTTGTTAACTGAACTTTATCTACTCAGTCAGTCAAGAGCAACGTAGCATCTAACACATTTGCAGATTGGTTCAAGTTGTCATACCCCATTAGTACAGCGAGACTAAATTGTCAGGGCAAATCCTAGATTTGTAGAGGTTTCTACTACAATATACTATTCTTGATCCTTTATTTACTTGAACACATAAATATTGGTCCAAGGGGGCACCAGATATATATGCGCCACATAAAATTATGAGAATGGGAAGAGAAAAAGATGGTAAGGTGCGCATAAGAAAAAAAAGAAGGGCACTAACGACCACAGATTAATGTATAGTAGTGTAATAAAAATTGGGGAAACACAAAGGTACAACCAGATGGAATTCCTTCAGTTAAGGAAGTTACAACCACTTTTTATGAAGAAAGTAAAAGAAGGTTACGGCAGGATCGCCATTAGCTTCTATTCTGAGCCATATCTTATAACGTCTCTAGCCACTGTGTTGCACCATCTCTCGGAACCCAGCCAGAAAGTTGTGAAGGATCATCAGAAGCCAGCCCTTTTCAGCTTTCTTTCATACCACGACACTATGTCATACACTGGCCACCTCTCCGCTTCCAACCAGTCCCAGAGTCGGCAAGTGATGCACGACGTGGAATTCTCTGGGACGACATTCGTAGGATTTGTCCAAGCCACCGAAGTCGGTGTTTCAAGATGGTGACACCAATTGCATTATCGTCTCTGTGCCCGAACACACGATGCCGGACCTCTGCATTACTAACATGATATTGCCATTGGATGTCAGTAATCCTTCAGAGACAACGATGTTCGAACACAGAGTCGTCTAACATCCTCAACTCGGAGAGGCCAGGTTTCACAAGCATAGAGCAGAATTGCTCTCACTGACGCTATTGTATATCCGATCTTTTACAGCCAGACTGACATCACGAAGGCGTCAAAGGTGGCCCAGATTGGTATAAGCTTCTCTGGCTTTCATTATACATGAACTGATCTCATCACTCACGCCCATCGTCCAAGACGTCGATGGATGTTAGTGATTGGCATCCCGTCATCCTCACAGGTTATTTTGCTCACACAAAACTTCTTGCCGCCAGTGGCTCGGATGAGTCGGAAGAGCTGTCGGTAGTTACCAGATGCAGCTGCTGCTTCCAGCTCATTAGCACGCTCCGACCACCAGGCTTTCCGGTCATTACACAGGCGTTGCTCAATTTCACTAAGCATTTCCGTGAAAATAATGTCGAAAACCCCAAAATTTCAACTCATCTGATTTTTCCCCAAAATGCTTGTCTAATTTTAAAGAGATTTACAAAATGATGTGGAACTTTCGAGATTTTCCCAATACTTCATACAAGATACATAAACATTTAGGAAATTCAATTTAATTAACTGAAGAATGCTAATTTTCCCGCTGAAAATGTAGGAATATCGTAATATTCATATTGGACTCCCTTGGACTTCCACAAATTTTGCTGAAATGTTGTGACGTCCATTGAGAAATCCCTGAAAATTTTACTGGGTAGACATATCTTTTATCTGTATTTGGAATGAAATCGCATGGTTTATTACATATCTCAATAAATATGATTGCCGTGAACTTCTCTACATGATACAACAAAATACATAGATCCGAGAAAGCACTTGACGATAAACGAATAAATAAACGGTTCTTAAAAGATAATATATGAACCCTTCAAAATGCCACGGATATTAAGAGTGACAACGTCTTTACCAGTAACACCTTTATAATCGAAGTATGTCAACACAGTCAGAATTGAGGAGGTTTGAAGTTATATTTGAATGCCCATCGATATCTTGTGAAGCGTCTGATCCAAGCTGGCTGACGGTTGTACAACATGACACAAATTCTCCTGGAAGTCGGAGTGTCATTCCATAAACGAGATGTTCTGCAGTGTATCCAATGTCAGCTTTCAATGCATATGCAATATTGCGAACACCGAGTGGAAGAGAGTAGGTCCACTGTGAAGCGTTTGCAGTTGATAGGGAAGCTTTTAGTTGTCGGTGAAAGCGTTCTACCAACCTGTTTGCTTGTAGGTTGTCGTTTGGAATCGTATGATTCCTAATAGTGTAGTCAGACAACGGAAAAGTCCAGATTCAAACTGGCGTCCACTGTCTATAGTAATAGTTCAAGGGCAACCGAATTTTGTTACCCACCGTTTGACGAAGGCCCGGGCTACTGTTTCGGGAGTA